CTGGGGGAGGGGGTGTGCAGAGGGCAGTGGCCTCTGGACTCCCCTGCCTGTCCTGGGACCCCTGGGCAGCCGGTATGACCACATGCATCTCCCAGGGGACTATGGAGACCGAACCCTGGCGCTGTGGAGCATGGCCACCTATGAGCTCGTTTCGTCTACCCACCTCCCGGAGCCGGTGCACGACATGGCCTTCAGCCCCTGGGGCGCCGGGGAGCTCGCCTGCGCGGGCCAGGGCGCCCTCACCGTGTGGCTCCTGCAGCAGCGCGGGCCCGGCATCAGCCTCCAGGTGCCAGGGCGCAGAGGCGGTTTTGGAGGACGGGTCTAGCCGGGCCCTGGGACATCACTGACCCGCACTGCCCTGTGTCCCTCCAGGCGCACCGAGAGCCCATCCCCGAGTCGGTGGGGGCGGGCGAGCTGACGTCCCTGTGCTACGGGGCCGAGCCCCTGCTGTACTGCGGCTCCAATGCCGGCCAGGTCTGTGTCTGGGACACGAGTGCCAGCCGGTGCTTCCTGGCCTGGGAGGCTGACGACGGTGAGATCGGTGGGTGCCTGAGAAGCCCCTGCGCCCCCCCCCCCCACAAGCTAGGGGTGTGGCCTCTTCCCTGGGAGCCCCAATGCTGGGGCAGCAGGACCCTGTCGGGTCCTGGGCAGCTGGAGAAGCAGCTCCTGCCACGTCCTGCCCCTCCCCTAGGAGTGCTGCTGTGCTCGGGGTCGCGGCTGGTCAGTGGCAGCAACACCAGGCGGCTGCGCCTGTGGGCCGTGGGGGCCGTGCCGGAGCTGCGGCGCAGGGGCTCCGGAGCCAGGTGAGCCTTCGCCAGCTGGGCCTGCCCTCGGGGGGACATGCTGGGGTGAGGCCAGAGCTCAAGGTCATGGGCGCACCCCAGAAGCACCAGGCTCCCTGGGCTCTCATTGCCTCCACTCGGGGCCCTCTGCTTCCCCCCAGGTCCAGCTCTGTGTTCCTGGAGCGCGAGCTGACCCTGGACGGGGCCATCGTGAGCGCTGTCTTCCACGACAGCATGGACATGGGTGTGGTGGGCACCACGGCGGGCACGCTCTGGTACGTCAGCTGGGCCGAGGGCACCAGCACCCGCCTCATCAGCGGCCACAGAAGCAAGGTGAGGCGGCGGGGCCGCCAGCCGTCTGTCGGAGATGTCCGAGGTGGTTTCCGCCCTGGACACAGGCCGGGCTGTGAGCCCCGCATTCGCTCTCTGCTGTCTGTGTTGTGCCCGCGACCCCCAGTTGTCCCGGGTCAGGCCCAGCTGTGGGATTAGTTCACGCGCACATATTTCAGGAAAAGGATTCCACACACTTAGACTGCACGTCGTCTCGTGTGGACACAGTCCACGTGGCGTCCACTCGTGGCAGCCCCACAGGCCTGGCTCTCCTCCTTCCTTTTCCGTCTGTTGCTTTTCCCCTTGTAATTTATGTGGCAGAGAAACCAGGCCATCCATCCCTGGGCCTCCCACTGACCAGGGTTCGACCTTTAGTTTGCAGTCCTCTACGGATGTGTTGTCCCATCACCATGTTTCATTTATTTTTTTGTTTATTTTTGTTAATCCTCACTCGAGGATATTTTTCCATTGGTTTTTAGAGAGATGGGAAGGGAGGGGAAGAGACGGAAAGAGAAAAACATCAATGTGAGAGAGACATCAGTTGGTTGCCTTCTGCACGAGCCCTGACCCTGGCCGGGGTTCGAACCTGCAACCAAGGTACATGACCTTGACCTGAATTGAACCTTCCATCTGTGGGCTGACGCTCTATCCACTGAGCCAAAATGGCCAGGGCCCTCCACCACATTTTAGGTTCTTCCAGAACACTTCTCTGGTGTTCCGGTCAGGTTCAATGGCAGATGGGCCCCTAGCAATTTGAATTCCACCTCGGTCTTGTGTGGGGCACTCAGAAGAGAGGTTGGGACAGTTTCTCTGCTCCACGTGGAGGTGAGCATGGCCAGGCGGGCTTGGGAAGGACACATGCTCTCATAGGAGTGACCTGGCCCCGTTGGCCAAGTGGCCTCAGGGCTGGCTGGCTACCCACAGGTGAACGAGGTGGCCTTCAGCCCCTGCGAGTCCCACTGTGCCACATGTGGAGACGACGGGAGTGTGAGGGTGTGGTCCTTGTCCAGCATGGAGCTGGTGATCCAGTTCCAGGTGCTGAACCAGGTATTCAGGGCACCAGGGGCTGGGGTGTGCGCGCGCGTGCGCTTGCGGTGGGACCCTGCCTCCCCACTGAAGGGCTCTGGGCGCTCCACCTTCCCTTCAGCCTCGGTGTCTGTCCTCGGCCTTGGGGTTGGGCCCATCATGCTCCCCAGGGGAGTGCTGATGTCTCCCCACTGGGGTCCCCAGAGTTGCCTCTGCTTGGCTTGGAGCCCCCCGTCCTGTGGGCGCCCAGAGCAGCAGCACGTGGCGGCAGGTTACAGTGATGGCACACTGCGTGTGTTCCACATCTCCCGGATCTCCATGGAGCTCAAGATGCACCCACACCGGGCCGCACTGACAGCCATCGCCTTCTCCGCTGACGGTAAGGGGCTGGGGGCTCACTGCCTGGCCCAAGTCACACCTTTGGGCTGGGAGCTCACAAGGTAACAGAGTGGCTCCTGCCTGGCCCAGGTCAGACCATCATCTCTGGAGACAAGGATGGGCTTGTGGCTGTGAGCCAGCCATGCACAGGGCTGACCGTCCGTACGCTGAGTGACCACCAGGGCGCCCCCATCTCTACCATCCAGAGCACAAGCAAGGAGGTGACGTGGCCAGCAGGGCCTCCTCGGGGGTGCTGGCGGAGAAGGGGCTGGGGCAAAGAGGGGCAGGGGGTACTCACCTGCCCTTACCCGCCCAGAATGGAGCCTTTGGGGTGGAGGGCACAGACCTGTGGTTGGCTGCCAGCGGGGACCAGCGGGTCAGCATCTGGGCCTCCAACTGGCTGCGGGACTGCTGTGAGCTGGTGGACTGGCTGAGCTTCCCGGCACCGATCCTCAGGGAGGTGAGGGTCCTGCTGGCACCTCAGGGGGGCACGGTGCCTGCCCATCCTGCCACAGCACGTTGTGCCTTTCCTCAGGCTTCAGACTGCTCTCCACCCTCCCTCGCCGCCTTCTGTCCCTGGGATAGGACGCTGCTGGCGTGTGCAGGCCTCGGCCCACATCCACAGGTGGTCTTTTACAGCCTCTGCCAGAAGCAGGCATGTGCACGCCCCTGTGACCCTGGGAGGGGAGGGTCCAGGGCATGTGACGCCCTGCTGACCGCCTCATGCTCGACGCCCACAGGTGGTGAAGAAGATCCCACTCCCTTTCTTTGCTGTGTCCCTGAGTCTGTCCCCCAGGGCCCACTCCATGGCCATTGGCTTTGCTGGTGAGTACTGGTGGGTATGGACTCTGCCTATCTCCGTGGGGCTTAGTGGACTTACCTGTTCCCCCACACTGAGACATGCCCCTCAGTCTGCACCCTCATCTCTGAAGTGGGGTACTGAGTCAAGCACCAAATAGAGGGCCTCAGCGGCCCAGTTTGGGGCCTTAGAAGCCCCATGTTGTTAGACACCCTGACAATGACAGGCTCTTTCTCGGCCGTGGGTGTGGAAGACAGGCCATTTAGCCCAGATTCTCTGGTGTTTCAACGTCCAGCTGGAGGCAGCCAGGGTGGGTTGGGAACCCCTGGGCCCCGGAGTTGCAGACATGCGCACAGGACCCACCCATACCATTTGCCCACAGAGCGTGTGCTGAGGCTGGTGGACTGTGTGTCAGGGGCTGCACAAGACTTTGCTGGCCACGACGACTGGGTACAGCTCTGTAGGTTTGCCCCGTCTGCCAGTCTGCTCTTCACGGCGGCCCACAACGAGATCTTGGTGTGGGAAGTCACAGGCTGCTGAGCTGCACTGGGGACCTTGGGGTTGGCTGTGCTGTCCTGGTCACACCAGGCACCTTAGGGTCGGCTGTGTTGACCGGGTCACACCGGGCACCTTGGGGTCGGCTGTGTTGACCGGGTCACACCGGGCACCTTGGGGTCGGCTGTGCTGTCCCGGTCATACTGGGCACCTTGGGGTCGGCTGTGTTGTCCGGTCACACCGGGCACCTTGGGGTCGGCTGTGTTGACCGGTCACACCGGGCACCTTGGGGTCGGCTGTGTTGTCCGGTCACACCGGGCACCTTGGGGTCGGCTGTGTTGACCGGGTCACACCGGGCACCTTGGGGTCGGCTGTGTTGTCCGGTCACACCGGGCACCTTGGGGTCGGCTGTGCTGTCCGGTCACACCGGGCACCTGGCCGGGGTAGAGGCTTTCCTGAGAAGCCGGGTGAGTGGAGAACTCGTGCTGGACAGGATGGCTGGGTAGGCTCAGTCCCTTCACATTGGATGGGCTCAGGACCCTCTGTATATAAATCACCAAGACCCCAAACATGTGTAAAGTGCTTGATGGCGCCTGAGTGCTTTTCTTTCTTTTTCTTTTTTTATTTTTAAATATATTTTTATTGATTTTGTACAGAGAGGAAGGGAGAGAGATAGAGAGCTAGAAACATCGATGAGAGAGTCTTGCACACCCCCTACTGGGGATGTGCCCGCAACCAAGGTACATGCCCTTGACCGGAATCGAACCCGGGTCCCTTCAGTCCCCAAGCCGACGCTCTATCCATGGAGCCAAACCGGTCTCGGCCTGAGTGCTTTTCTATGTTTCTACCTGTACAGTTGAAATAAACATGATGTTTGTTGCATTGTTGCATTGTCTGCTGGTCACTCCAGGTTCCTACTGCCCTGGGCCTGGCTCTCCTGCCTGGCCTGAAATCAGCCTCTGCCCAAATCCCAGACCTCCTGTTCCCTGCCCAGCACTGAGGCCCTGGCCAGTCCACCTGGAAGGGCTATCCTGCCCAGGGTGGTCTGGTCCTGCCCCAGCCGGAAACTGCTGGGGCCTAGTGGCACCCGAAGCCGTGGCCCCGCCCCCTGGCCGGCGCGGCGCCAGCAATGCCGGATGCGCCCACGCGGTGGCACTGCCGCGCACCCCGGCCTCTCTGGCCCGCCGGGCTCGCTGGTGCGGCCGCGCGGGCGGGGCCGGAAGTGCGGGCTGGGGGCGGCGGCGTGTGCAGAGGACTCCCGAAGTGCTGCGGCCTGAGTTGCGTCGGCTGCTATGAAGCGGGACGTCCGCATCCTGCTGCTGGGCGAGGGTAGGCGCCCGGGCAGGGGTCGGGCTGGGCGAGGGTAGGCGCCGGGGGCGGGCCGGGCCTGTCCTGTGGGAGGGGGGGCGCCGCGACCTTGGCCGCCGCGCTGACCGCGCCGTCCCGCGCAGCCCAGGTGGGGAAGACGTCTCTCATCTTGTCGCTGGTGGGCGAGGAGTTCCCCGAAGAGGTGAGGATGGCGGTGCTGAGCGGTGCCGGGCGCGCAGAGGAAGGGACTGAGGCCCCGGGGCGGTCCTACCGCCGCCCCGGGCCACCCTCACGGCCAGTGTGCTTCAGGTCCCGCCCCGGGCGGAAGAGATCACCATTCCCGCGGACGTCACCCCGGAGAAGGTGCCCACGCACATCGTGGATTCCTCAGGTAGAGCCGCCCCCGCCCCACGTCCTGCCCTGGAGCCGCGTTTCGGGCTGGAGGTCTGCAATGCCGTCTCTCCTTCTCATCCAGAAGCTGAGCAGACCGTGGAGGAGCTCCAGGACGAGATTAACAAGGTGCAGTGTGTTCTGGGGCTCAGGGAGGGTCGCCCCCTCCCTGGGGGGCGAGGCTCAGGCTCTGGGGGTGGGCTGCTGCCTAGTTCTGATCGGCTTCTCTCTCTGAGGGACCGGATTAAGGTGCTCAGAGCGTCTTCAGCCTCGCTAATTCTTCCATGACCTCTCAGGACTAAGTTGTTGGGGTTACTGTGATGCACCCTGCTGGGAGTTGGGGAGACAAGGGATCATCACTTCCTTCTCCACCCCACACGTCTGGCCAACCCCATGGCTCTCCACCCAGCATTCACTGGGGGACAGATCTCATTATCTTTCAAAATGACCCCTGAAACAGCCCTGTGCCCCGGCCACCTACCCCCCACCCTGTAGTGCAATCCACTACTCTGGGCCTTTGAGCCGTGGCGCAGTGACCCGGGCTGCAGGCTGCACAGCCCTCTGTTCACCTGTTACCAGGGGGCCATGTGTCTGGGCCAAGCCCCTGGGAGGAAGCTGCCCCTGCAGCCTCGCCCTGTCCCTCTGCGGCTTCTGCTGTGTCCTGGCGTGCTGTTCTCGGCATCTTTTCTGCCCAGAGGGACAGGAGTGAAGGCCCAAGGCCAGATCTGGGGTACCAAATGTCTGGGGTGGCTGTGCATGCCCTGAGCCTTCAGGGGACTCACTGACCGGAGTCGCAGTGCTGGCACCTGGAAGTGCGCGGGGAAGGGCCGTCTGAGATGTGCACAGCAGATGACCATCCATCCCAGTGACACTGCCGAGGAGCACTGGCTGAGGAGCACCAGTGAAGGATGGCTTCCTGGTCTCTGAGCCATGCCTTGCCTTGCCTGTGAGTGCCGGGTGGTGTAGACCGGAAGCCTCTGGTAATGCTGTGCCACGTGCCCTCCCCCACAGGCAAACGTGGTATGTGTGGTGTACGACGTGTCCGAGGAGGCCACCATTGAGAAGGTGAGCGAGGGAGTGAGTGAGGGTCCTGGGTCCCTGCCGCTGTCATCCAGTTGGTTGTCATTCTGTTCTCCGCTCGGACCCCAGGGGGGTGCCCAGCTGAGGCATGTGCTTGGGTGACTCACTCCCGTGGCCAACCCCATCTCTATTGGGTGCTTGGGGGAGCTTCTTGGCCACAGGCCCCCACAGCTTCCCCAGGGAGCTCCCTGTGACCCCGTCCTGCAGAAAGCATGAGCAGCCATGAGTCTAAGCCACTTGGGCTTGCAGAGGGGCTGTCCTGAGCTGCTGACCCAGGTCCCTGGGGGGTGTTTGGAAACTGCTAGCATCAGATAAGGTCACACCTGCAACGTGCCTTCTCCACTTGTTCCCATTGACCGTGCCTGTGGCCCTCAACTTGCCCCGTCTCTCTCGGCTCAGGTTTAAGTTCCATCGGAGAGGTGTGGGCTGGGCGGCTCCCTCCCCTTATGCCAGGTCTTGCCTTTCAGATCCGCACCAAATGGATCCCCCTGGTGAATGGAGGGACAGAGGAGGGGCCCAGGTAATGGGCAGTGCCCAAGGGGCTGGTGGGTCTCCTCCAGCTCCCTCATCCCTGGTGACCGTGGGCCTCTCTCCAGGGTCCCCATCATCCTGGTGGGCAACAAGTCGGACTTGCGGCCAGGGAGCTCCATGGAGGCTGTGCTGCCCATCATGAGCCAGTTCCCTGAGATTGAGACCTGTGTGGAGGTAAGCAGGCGTGCACAGCAGGGCCAGGCAGGGGGCACCGGGGTGGAGAAGAGAAGGGCCAGGCCAGGGCCCGCAGCACGCACTCACATGCTGGTGGCCTGGGACCTAAGACAGACAAGCTTTCTTACTGAGGACTTCCATGGGATGGGGGCTGCCGACCCCCTGGGCCAGCGCCTTCGAGTCTCCCAGCATCGGGCACTCTCTGAGTCTGTCCTGGTGGTCCCCAGTGCTCGGCCAAGAACCTGAGGAACATCTCAGAGCTGTTCTACTACGCCCAGAAGGCCGTGCTGCACCCCACCGCTCCGCTCTATGACCCTGAGGCCAAGCAGGTGAGCGGCTGGCTTGGGTGGGGCGGCCAGCAGGTGGGGCTGGGGAACGTGCTGAGCTGGCTGTCCCCACAGCTGAAGCCTGCGTGCACCCAGGCCCTCACACGCATCTTCAGGCTCTCGGACCAGGACCTGGACCAGGCGCTCAGCGACGAGGAGCTCAATGCTTTCCAGGTGGGGCCCCTCCACCTCTCGGGAGTGCCCCCCCTTTTTTGGCTGCAGCCGGGCCCCACGCCGTTAGTGACCAGGCAGCCGCTCACTGGCAGCAACTTTCTCTTGGAGGCAGAAATCCTGTTTCGGGCATCCCCTGGCCCCACAAGCCCTGGAGGACGTGAAGATGGTGGTGCGCAAGAACGTGGCAGGAGGGGTGCGGGATGACCGGCTGACCCTGGACGGTGAGCCCTGGTGCCCTGCCTGTCCTCCTGGTGTGGGGAGAGGCTCAGGTAACACCCAGCGTCACCTTCTCTGCGTCTCTCTGAACAGGCTTCCTCTTCCTGAACACGCTCTTCATCCAGCGCGGCCGCCATGAGACCACGTGGACCATCCTGCGGCGCTTCGGCTATGGCGACACGCTGGAGCTGACCACCGACTACCTCTTCCCTCCGTGAGTGGGGGGGGGGCTCTCAGGGTTAGATGGTGCCCGGGGGGCGGGGGTGGTGGTGTTGAAGTCCTTGCCCAGGCGGAGGGTGGCCTGTGCAGGAGGCACCTTGCTGTGGGCAGGCAGACTGGGATTTAATGCTGGGCAGGTGGCCCCTGGCCCCAGCCACATCCCTGCCTGCTTCTCTGCTGTGGTGCTCAGTCGAGGGAGAGAGTCGGGGGAACTCAGGGGTTCAGTCAGACTGGCAGGGAGGGTCGGACTGCACCCCCTGAGCGTGGTGGAAACGGATGGCAACCCCATAGGCTTCACGTGCCCCCTGGCTGCAGCACGGAGCTCAACCACTTTGGCTACCAGTTTGTGCAGAGGGTGTTTGAGAAGCATGACCAGGTGAGGGCGCTGTCCCCCTGCCGTGCTGCCTGTCTTGGTTTCCAGTCCTGGCCCCCAGCAGTGTCACCACAGCCCCTCTGCCTGCAGGACCGTGATGGAGCCCTCTCGCTGGCACAGCTGCAGGACCTGTTCAGCGTGTCCCCAGCACCCCCTTGGGGCCCTCAGTTCCTGCAAGAAGTCCAAACTGAAGCGGGTCGGCTGCCGCTGCATGGGTACCTCTGCCAGTGGACGTGAGTGCAACCCCGGCCTGCCCCGCTTGGCAGACAGTGTTGCCTTTTCATGATGCTGACCGCGCCCCCTGTGCCCCTCACGCCCCAGGCTGGTGACTTACCTGGATGTCCGGCGCTGCCTGGAGCACCTCGGCTACCTGGGCTACCCCACCCTCTGCAATCAGGACTCCCAGACTCATGCCATCACAGGTGGGCGCCCACCCGCCCGGCGTCTGGCCAGCTGCTCCCTGACAGCCGCTTACTCTTGTCTTTTCCATCCTCACAGTCACCCGTGAGAAGAGGCTGGACCAGGAGAAGGGACAAACGCACAGGAATGTCCTTCTGTGCAAAGTGGTGGGAGCGCATGGCGTGGGCAAGTCTGCCTTCCTGCAGGCCTTCCTTGGCCGAGGCCTAGGGGTGAGCATCACTGTGTGTCAGGGGAGGGGACCCCGCTCCCATCTGGGGCCTTGGGGGTTGGGGTAGGGCTTTGGGGAGCATCAGGGCCAGTGAGTTTCAGGTACCTCCCTCCTCAATGTTAGGACACCAGGGAGTTCCACCAGATATCTGCCATCTATGCCATCAACACGGTGCAGGTCAACGGGCAGGAAAAGTACCTGATAGTGAGTGTTGGGGTCGGGGGTCCCTGCAGTAGATCCCGGGTGCATGCTGGGCAGTGCTGTCCCAATGTGGCCTGGGGAATTGAGCTCCCTGCATCTCCCTGAGGCCACCCTCTGTCCAGCTATGTGAGGTGGATGCAGACAGCCTGCTGTCCACTGCGTCGGATGCTGCCTGTGACGTCGCCTGCTTGATGTTTGATGGCAGTGACCCCCAGTCCTTTGCACTCTGCACCAACGTCTACAAGGCAAGCCGCCACCTCCCCCACCCTCCTGTGGGCAGCCTGGCTGAGTGGTAGCGCCCCAGCACCCTCTCCTTGCCTGCTCCGGGACCGTGTATCACGTGGCCCCTTCCCCTGCAGCGCCATTACATGGATGGGCAGACCCCCTGCCTCTTCGTCTCCTCCAAGGCCGACCTGCCTGAAGGTGTTGCGCTGCCCGGGCTGTCTCCAGCCGAGTTCTGCCGCAGGCACCGGCTGCCCGCCCCTGCCCCGTTCTCCTGCGCTGGCCCAGGAGAGCCAAGCACAGCTGTCTTCACCCGGCTTGCCACCATGGCCACCTTCCCGTGGGTACCAGCTCCACAGCCCCTGTGGTGGGAGGCCTGTCCCTGTCCTAGGGCACTGATGGTCCCTGTCCCCGGAGAGGGGAACAGCTGGGGTGTCAGACTGGAGTCATTCAGGGTGGCAGGGTGGGCCTTGGTCAGGTGCTGAGGTCCTGGCAGGGCCCTCTGGGGCCTGGTCTCACCAGCTGCCCTGTGGTCTGCTAGCAGCTCTGTGACTTTCCAGGAGATTGGGGTGGTGGTGGTGATGGGGGTACAGCAGCAAGCTCTGGACAGCACCCTGAGGGTGCCTCCAACCAGCCCCTTTCTCCTGCAGGTACCTGGCCCACGGGGAGCTGCATACCACCTCCTTCTGGCTCCGGGTGACCCTGGGGGCTTTTGGGGCTGCTGTTGCTGCCATCCTCAGCTTCTCGCTCTACAGAGTCCTGGTGAAGAGCCGATGAGGCCCTGGTGCCCGCAGTCTGATCTCAGGGCCTCAGGGTGCTGTTGTTGGGCCACCCACTTGGTGGAGCTCCCTTCTGTCTACACTTTGCTTCTGGGGACAGCCTACTCACTGCCCAGCCCCAAAGGTGGGCCCCAGGTCCTGCCAGCCTGTGCCTGCCCAGCACCACCTGCCTGTGTGGGCATCGCGTTGGAGAGACAGGGGGTATAGGTGAGAAGCCAGTGGTCCTAGATCTGAATCCTCGGGGCTCCACCCACTCCTGGTCCCAGGTAGCCAGGGGTACGAGGCAGGAAGTGCTCCTCCCCGCTCCATCGATGGGGAACTGGCCCAGGGCTGCACCCCTCGTGGAAGGTGTGAGGGTTGGGTTTCCTGATTAAACTTCGGTGTCTTTTCCATCTTGGACCCTACTTTTCTGAAGGTGGCTCTTCTTAATCACGTCCTTTGCCTCTGTGGACTGGAAACTTCCCTCCCGACCCCCCACCTCAAACAGTCCCACATGAGGTTCTGGTTGTGGGTCAGCCGCAGCCGGGAGCCGCCCATTGAGGTCCATGCTCTCGTGACGTGGCCTGCCTTCTCCCCAAACCTCAGCATCCATCCCGGCAGCCCGCCCGAGCTGTGGGGAGGAGCTGGGATTCTGAGGTGGAACTGGGTGCAGGGTGGCTGCTGCCCTGTCCCCGCACCCTGACCAGAGGCCTGACACTCACTGGGTAGGCGGCAGGAAGAGGTGCCAGCCTGAGGGGAGGGGGCTTCTTGGGAGGCTCTACTTGGGATTATGTTTCGGCACCTGCCCAAGTGCTTCCTTGGCCAGTGTTCTGGGACCTGGGGCAGAGGCAGCCCATGGTGGGACTGAAAGACCCTGGTTACCCAGGCAGGTGCCCCTCCTGCCGTCAGTCACTCCATGCAAGACAGCTCCCACACCCAGGTTTCTCCCAGAACATCCAGGTGCTGTCCTGGGAGGTGGGGGGAGTTACCTGCCCTGCTCAGGCCTGACCCAGCAGGGTCTGGAGTCAGACTAAAAATATATATTTAATTGATTCCAGTAAGAAAAGGAGCAGGGGAAGTGAGAGAGAAACATCAATGATTGATGAGGGAGTCATTGATCGGCTACCTCCTACGCTCCCCATACTGGGGATCAAGCTCCCAACCCTGGGCATGTGCCCTGATAGGGAATCAAAACTGGTTATCTTAGCCGAAACCAGTTTGGCTCAGTGGGTAGAGCGTCGGTCTTCAGACTGGAGGGTCCCAGGTTTGATTCCAGTCAAGGGCATGTACATTGGTTGGGGGCACATTCCCACTGCGGGGGAGCGGTGTGCAGGAGGCAGCTGGTCAGTGTTTCTCATTGATGTCTCTGGCTCTCTGTCCCTCTCCCTCTCTGTGAAAAATCAATAAAATATATTTTAAAAAAACAACCCCCCCAAAAAAACAAACAAAACAAAACTGGTACCTCCTGGTTCATGCTCAATGACTGAGTCACACCAGCCAGGGGAGGGAGTAAGACTCTTGGTCATATCGTCACTGTTCTACTGTTCTCCCAGCTGCAGCTGTGGAGGTGTCATTCTCACTTGGGCTCTATCCTGAGGCCGGGCTGCTGGGATTGATGGCTCCATGGCATTGGGGTTCTGAGTGGTTCCCTGAGGGGCTGCTGTGGTAACACATTCCTGGTCTGTAACCTCTGCTGTTGGAGGGCTCTACCTGCCTCCCTAGGAAATGGAGCCCTTCCTATCAGCTGCAGCCTTGTCCGTCGTGGTCTCCGCTGGGCTCCCCAGTGCCCTCCTGGGGTTGTCCTCTCCACTGTCACTGTCCGGCCTGTGGCTGCAGGGCCTCCAGTCAGAGATGTGAGCTGGGGTTGGTCTGCAAAGAGCATGCAGGAGCCTCTGCCGTTCACGAACAGCCCTGGCAGTCTTGGCACCCATTGGGGGGCCTTGACCAGCACTGGTGGGCAGACACTTTCAGGGAGCCGCCGTCTGGGGAATCAGGTGGTGGGTGGTCCGGGGAGGCTTCCCCAAGGGGGTGGTGTGGGTGCCAAGACCCCACTCGGGAGAAGGGATACCAGGGGCTTGGCTGCCGCCTGTGGCTCAGTTTCCACTCCTGTCCCGTCAGGAGCAGCAGCTGCGTCTCCGTCATGGAGCTCGGCCAGGACGCGGGGGCGAGGCTGGGGAAGCCCGCATGTGCTGAGCGGGTGGAGGGAGGGACACTGGCCGGGCCATCACCATCCCGGAGCGCGTCCGCGTGCAGGGCACGCGCGTGTCCCGGCCACGCGTGCGGCGGGGGCGGGCGGGCGGCTCGGTGACGCGGCGCCAGGCGGAGTGGGCGGAGCGCACGGGCCGGGGCGGAGCGGAGGCATCCGCAGCGCAGCCCCTCCCGGCCTGGCCGTCGACCCCGGACCGGCCCGGCTCTATGGACAGGAGCTCGCTGCTGCAGCTTATCCAGGAGCAGGTGCGTTGGGGTAGAGGGGCTCAGGCACCGCCCCTGCCGCTGGGTTGGGCGGGGAAATGGAACTGGCAGAGCCTCAGCCCAACCCCCGCTCCTGTCCACTCCTCAAACCCTCTCATGCACGACCTTGGCCCGCCGCCTGAGACCCCAGGAGGGGGTGAGCCAGACCAGGGTGCCCGAGGAGGGGCAAGGGGCGGGGGTGACAGTCCTCAGACTTCAGCCCTATCCTTCCAGGATGGACAGAGCCAAAATGAGGTGAGGAGACCCCTAGAGGCTTGGGGACTCAGGAACCGATTCCCTGGCAGCTCCTGAGACCACGTGGGCACAGGGTGCTGGGAGACTGCCTTTTCCAGCTGGTTTGGGGCAGCCTTTGGTCTGTGGGTCTGGTCCGCGCTCAGGCCTTGGCCAGCATCACCTCCTCCACCCCCACCCCAGCAGCTGGACCCTGAGAACACGGGCTTCATCGGTGCAGACACCTTCACGGGCTTGGTGCACAGCCATGAGCTACCCCTGGATCCAGCCAAGCTGGACATGCTGGTGGCCCTGGCCCAGAGCAACGAGCGGGGCCAGGTCTGCTACCAGGAGCTGGTGGACCTGGTCAGTGCTAACGTGGGTGGGCAACAGGAGTGGGGGGCCCAGGCCTTGGCCTGCACAGTGCCTGGCTGGAGTTGGGTGGGCAGGTGGCCCCTCTTTCCTCACCTCCCACTGGAGCAGAGCTCCAAACCCTGTGCGGAGCTGGGCAGACCAGGTGGGCACGGAGGCCGTGGGGGTAGTACGATGTCCCATGCTCAGGCCCTGCTCCCCCAGATCAGCAGCAAGCGCTCAAGCAGCTTTAAGCGGGCCATTGCCAACGGACAGCGGGCACTGCCCCGGGATGGGCTGCTCGACGAGCCGGGCCTGGGCGTCTATAAGCGGTTTGTGCGCTACGTGGCCTACGAGATCTTGCCCCGAGAGGTGGACCGCCACTGGTACTTCTACCGGCACCGAAGCTGCCCGCCCCCCGTGTTTATGGCCTCGGTCACTCTGGCCCAGGTGAGCCTACCCCCCGCCTGCCTGCCACGCACATCCCCGGCCTGGCCCAGTCCTGACGCCCTCCTCTCCTAGATCATCGTGTTCCTGTGCTATGGGGCCCGCCTCAACAAGTGGGTGCTGCAGACCTACCACCCCGAGTACATGAAGAGCCCTCTGGTGTACCACCCCGGGCACCGAGCGCGGGCCTGGCGCTTCCTCACCTACATGTTCATGCACGTTGGGTGAGTGAGGCCCCTTTCTGGCGCCCCCAAGTGGCTGCGGCAGGGAGCCTGATGATCGACCACACCCATCACGCCCATTTGCCTCTCTGTGACCAGGCTGGAGCAGCTGGGGTTCAACGCGCTCCTACAGCTGATGATTGGAGTGCCCCTGGAAATGGTGCACGGCCTGCTCCGCATCAGCCTGCTCTACCTGGCCGGCGTGCTGGCAGGTGAGGCGGGCGCACAGCCCCCGGCCACCTCGCCGGAAGGCCGCCTCCTCATGGCCGTCCCCTTGCTTCACACAGGCTCCCTGACTGTCTCCATCACTGACATGCGGGCCCCGGTGGTGGGGGGCTCTGGCGGAGTCTACGCCCTGTGCTCTGCACACCTGGCCAATGTCGTCATGGTAATGAAACCACCGGGGCGGGCTGGGGAGGGGCCCCGAGGCCTGCCTCACCGCCTGTCTCGTGTCCCATCAGAACTGGGCTGGGATGAGGTGTCCCTACAAGCTGCTGAGAATGGTGCTGGCCCTGGTGTGCAGTAAGTGGGGACGAAGGGGGCTGGAGGCGGGCGGGGAACCGAGCCCAGGGCCAGGGTGCCTCCCATGTGCCAACTCCCTCTGCAGTGAGCTCGGAGGTGGGTCGGGCCGTGTGGCTGCGCTTCTCCCCGCCACTGCCGGCCTCGGGCCCGCAGCCCAGCTTCATGGCGCACCTGGCCGGAGCGGTGGTGGGCGTCAGCATGGGCCTGACCATCCTGCGCAGTTATGAGGAACGCCTTCGGGACCAGTGCGGCTGGTGGGTGGTGCTGCTCGCCTACGGCACCTTCCTGCTCTTCGCCATCTTCTGGAACATCTTCGCCTATGACCTGCTGGGTGCCCACATCCCTCCACCACCCTGAGGGACTCCTGGAGGCCACGTGGGCCAGGGCGTGGCCTGCATGCCCACCTTCTGTGAAAGTATGTCTTCGGGCTGCTTCTCCCGCGAGGGCAGGTGGCCCCTGTGGCCTACTGAGTCCAAACCAAGCCTTACACCAGCCCTGGCCCCCCTCTGAGGCCCGGGGGGGGGTTAGGACTGCTGGGCCGGGCTGGGTGGTGGAGGTCCCAAGGGTGGTCCCAGAGGAACGCTATCCTGGTCTCCCTCCAACACTTGCAGTCTGAGCCTTTTTGGAGAATAAATATTTTACGCAACACCAGGTAGCTGTAATGGGGTTCTGGGGGCTGGGCTGGCCTCCCCCCCGCCCCCCGCCCCAATGAGCCGACTGTGAGGGCACTTCCCTCCATTTGGGCAGCCTGGATTCCCCCTTGCTCCTCTGCAGGCGTATGAGGGATGTCTGCGTGGGAAGTGGGAGCCCCTGGAGAGGGGCTGTGGACCTCATGGTTTGGAGTGAGTTCAGCAAGCGTTTATTGAGCTCCTACAGTCGCCTGGCAGGTGAGCAGGCCATAGTCAAGTTCAGTCGGACTGGGTCCTATACTTCCCGGCCGGCCTGGTACCCTCAGAGATGGCTAGGCTAGGGCTGAGGTCAGGACGCAGGTTGGGGCACAGCTTCTACCCCACAGCCCAGGTCCATAGTGCTCTCTCCACAGCCCTAAGGCCCAGCCTGGGAGGCGCGCAGGGAGTCGGGGGCCCAGGGCATCCTGTCCTGCGGAACAGCTCTGTACACTCCATCCTGACGGGAGTCCTGGATGTCCTTCTAGCCTACCAACCGTCCCCTCACCTCGGCTCAGGGCTGTGGCACGCTTCCACACCTGGTCCAGGTACGGCGGGTAGTACCTTAAGTATACTGCAGGGCTGGCAGGCCAGGTCCTGGGTCCACTGCCTCATTGGGCATGAAGGCTGCCCCCTCAGGAGCTGCAACAGCTAAGACTGGGGGGGTGGTGGTGGGAAGGGGGAGTGAAAAGCCAGCATTCAGACCCGCCAGTGTCCCAACAACCTCGGTGAGGGCGGCCATTATCAATGAGCCTCCATGCCATGGACGTGACCCGGGGTTCATCTCGCAAAGTCACTAGCTGGTCCCTCCTGTGACCCGCCCATATAACCAGCTCTCCCACTAACCTTGAGGCGGTGGAGGGAGGCAGCGACCCAGGGCTTTACTACCAGCTCTGGGGTCACCAGCTGCTGCAGGCGCGGGTGACAGCGGCCCTGAGCAGCAGAGCTGGGGGAGGCGGAATGGTCACTGGTGGTGGACCTCCACAGGAGGGCATGCCCCACAACAAGAAGACTCATTACTGGGAGGAAGCCCCGCCCCACGGCGCAAGGGGCGGCCGCCAAAAAGAAGCCCCGACACCAGGAGGCGGGCCCGCTCGCCGAGGTTCTGCCACCCACGTGGAAGCCCCTCACGTGGAAGCCCCTCACCGCCAGCTTCCACGCGCCTCGTGCTCCGCTCCGACCTCGATGCCCACGGGGAAATCCTCTGGATGCCAGGGGAGGGGCGGTGCCGGAGTCTGGGCACCGAGGCCCCCTGCCCTACCATAGGTCCAGGACTTCCAGTCACCCCGCGCGCGGCCGCCGGCCTCTCCACGGTGCGCCAGCAGCCCGGGTCCTCTCGGCCCCCCAGCCCGCGGGCGGCCGCCAGTTTCACGCGCCGGGCCGGGCCTCGGTGGGCGTGGGCGGCCTCGGGAGTGGGCGGGGCCGTCTCCTGGAAGGACGGCCCCCGCACGCGAGGGGCGGGGCTTCCCGGTGCAAACCCCGGCGCTTCTCCAGACACGCGACGCCGCGGCTCACGTAGCCCCGCCCCCCGAGCCCATCAGCCCCGCCCCCGACAGAGCGACGCGCGCAGGCGCGGCCCCGCCCACCAGCTCGCACGGTTCCGCCCTGCTCACTCCGCCCCATGCGGCCGGAAGTTCCGGTGGCGAATCGCTGGACCGGGCCCGAGCGGATCTCGGGCTCGGGCTGCGGGCTTGGGCGACCCGGGCACTGAGTCTGGGAGCGGGTCCCGGGCCGTGCCGCGCGGCGCCATGAAGGGCAAGGAGGAGAAGGAGGGCGGCGCGCGGCTGGGCGCAGCCGGCGGAAGCCCGGAGAAGAGCCCGAGCGCGCAGGAGCTCAAGGAGCAGGGCAACCGGCTCTTCGTGGGCCGCAAGTACCCGGAGGCGGCGGCCTGCTACGGCCGCGCCATCGTGAGTGCACCGGCGCCGGGGGCGGGGACCGGCGTCCGGGCCAGAGGAGGGGGTGGGGCCGGGCCTGCTCGGCCGCCCTTTTCGGACTTTACGAGGGCTTTGGTTCTGACGAGGAAGGAGCACTTAGGCTCTGAGGACTCGATGATCTCGTTGCAAAGGTGCCAAGGCCGAGATTCTTGAACCCAGTGCTGGTTGCTGGAGACCTATGGTCGGGTGGGAGCTTTAGGGCGCTTGGTGCCGGCAGGGCCAGGGATCCCAGTCCAAAGCTGGGGACCTCCCAGTCTGGTAAACTTACCTTTACAAAACCTGCTGAGTTGAGAGGGCTCAGGCAGGCCTCAAAGGCTTTGAAGCTGTAAAACCTCTAGTGTCTTGATTTCAACCATGGACCTCAAGGGCAGGACAAGGCCTGGGACAGAGGGGGCAGGCTGAGCTCACTCCCTCCTGCTGATTGGCCTGCCTTGGTCCCCAGACCCGGAATCCCCTGGTGGCAGTGTATTACACCAACCGGGCACTGTGCTACCTGAAGATGCAGCAGCACGAGCAGGCCCTGGCTGACTGCCGGCGCGCCTTGGAGCTGGATGGGCAGTCTGTTAAGGCACACTTTTTCCTGGGGCAATGCCAGTTGGAGATGGAGAGCTATGATGAGGCCATTGCCAACTTGCAGCGAGGTGGGTCTACAGGCTGGCTGGTTAAGGGGGTCCTTGGGACCGGGTGGGTGGACTGGCCAAAGGGTGACTAGAAGCCTGTTCCCCCAGCCTACAACCTGGCTAAGGAGCAGCGACTCAACTTTGGGGACGACATCCCCAGTGCTCTGCGCATCGCCAAGAAGAAGCGCTGGAATAGCATTGAGGAGCGGCGCATCCACCAGGAGAATGAGCTGCACTCCTACCTCACGAGACTCATTGTGGCCGAGCGTGAGAGGTGGGCTGTGATGACAGACTCTGGGAACCCCCTCCCCCCTATTTCCCCCCAACAAGTCACCACTTGGTTATGAACACAAATGTTTATTGAAGGCTAACCCTGGTGACAGAAGACAGGGGGGGACAAGGCCTGAACAAACCTGAGGTTGGGGTGGAGTCTGACCTTTCCTGGCCAGATCTGTCTCTGACCAGCTCCCGGTCAACCCCCAGGGAGCTGGAAGAATGTCAGCGGAACCATGAGGGCGATGAGGATGATGGCCACATCCGGGCCCAGCAGGCCTGCATCGAGGCCAAGCACGTGAGGGTGCCCCGGCCCACGTGTGGGTCTTGTGTTTGTGTGCACATGTTGTGAGGGTGCCCTGGCTCCTGTGTGTGTCTGTGTCGGGAAGGGAGAAGGGAAGTCTGGCCCATGCATGGCTGCTTGGTTATTTGCAGGACAAGTACTTAGCAGACATGGATGACCTCTTCTCCCAGGTGGACGAGAAGAGAAAGGTGAGTTGGCTGTTCTCTAGGGCCTGCAGGTAGCAGGAACTGTAGGAGTGCCCCTTTCCTGACCACTGACCCTTGTGACGCAGAAGCGAGACATCCCGGACTATCTGTGTGGCAAAATCAGCTTCGAGCTGATGCGGGAGCCGTGCATCACGCCCAGCGGTATCACTTATGACCGTAAGGACATTGAGGAGCACCTGCAGGTGAGAGCCTAGGGGTGCTGGGGGCAGGGCCCCAGCCCACCAAACACTTTCTGACTCTGTTGTTGCTGCAGCGTGTGGGCCACTTTGACCCTGTGACCCGGAGCCCTCTGACCCAGGAACAGCTCATCCCCAACCTGGCCATGAAAGAGGTCATCGATGCGTTCATCTCTGAGAATGGCTGGGTGGAGGACTACTGAGGCACAGCAAGTGGGAGGGCAACTTGCCCCTCCTTGCCTGGCACCCAGGCCCAGGAGGGCCTTGGGGCAGTACCCCCCTCTGCTCCTGTATATAGTTTGTGTCCCTGGATCCCTACTTTGGTGTCCCCATCCCATCTTCTATCAGTTCTGCTGGTAGGCCATGAGCCCTCCCACTCCCTGTCCCCCATTTCCCTTCTGGGCCTGAAACAGCAGGCTGTGGTGGTTTGGGCAGAGGCTGCTGCCACAACCACTATCCTTGTAATAAAACCTGTGAGCAGTATAGGGATGTGTGCTGGTGTGAGACTGGGCTCGCCAGCTGCCCGCTCTGGCTAGCTGAGGAAGGTAGAGATGAAAACACTGGTTTCGAGGTTGAGTGTGGCGTGCCACCATCGGTCAGGGAAATACAGAACCTGGATTGGGTGGGGCAGAGAGATTAGCAGGGATGGGGTGGGAGGGGCCTCAATCCGCCCAGCCTGACGCCCCCCAACAACCACTGACCTCACCAGCCTGGATGGTGCACTCCAAGGGCCGTGCAGATGGTGTCAGGGCTGGGTAGGTGTCCTGGAGCCAGGCCAGAGTGGTCTTATTGGGGTGGAACTCTGGTGTCTTCTCAGGGGGGTATAGGAACCAGCGCTGGGGGTGGGAGCAGCAAGGTCACTCTTTGTATTGTGGTCAGTGAGCCAGAAGTCTCAGCCATAACCCTATGCTGACCTTTCGTCCGTAGATCACTTCTGAGAACCCAGGCCCGTGCCAGTGGAAGGGCACCCCAGAGCCAGCTCCTGTGGGGTTAGTTATGAGCAGCAAGTGACCAAACTCAATTTGCACTCCCCATCCCCCAAATCCCCTGGTCCTGTAAGGCACCCACCTGCGATCCCAAAGCTGTAGGCAGGGGTGGTGCCTAGCAGACCAAATGGGGGTGGGATGTAATGCTGAAAGAGTGATGCCCATTCAGTGAAGTTGTTGTCCCCAAAGAAGTACAGAGTGTCTGCCAGCAAAAAACAGGAAGCAGGGGTCCTGGCACCTGGGCACTCCCAAGTGCCACCCCAACCCACTGCCTCCAGCCCAAGTGCTCACCATTGCCTAGGGAGGTGGGGTCCTGGGGGTGCAGCTGCTCCACATACTCCTGGAAGGGTAGGTCCACTGCGGGGAAAGGGCCGGGCAGGACTGGTTGATGCTGCCTCCAGGATGCTGTCAAGCAGGCTGGCTGTGAGGCGGGGCAACTCACCTTTCTGGTAGGAGTAGGTGTTGGCAGTGCTCAGCCGAATCACGTTGTCCCCAAATAATGCCAGCAGCCTTTTGCGGGAGCACAGGGCCCGGAACCTCTGGGGATTGGGAGTGGAGAGAGTATTTAAGGGTCCGGCCCCACACGAGGAGAGGTGGCCAGGAGAGGAACCAGTACTCACTGAGTTGTTGGTGAGTCCCTGCAGAATGACAGGTCTGGAGAAGGCGTAGCTAGAAGGAATGGCAGAGTCTAAGTTGGGCCTGACACATCCCTGTTCCCGCCGCCACACGGGGGTCCTGGTGCGCAGCAGGCAAATAGGGGGGTGACAGCGCTCCCGGACGGGTTTGGGCGGGAGGTGGGGCGGCATTGGGAGGTGGGGCGGCATTGGGAGGGCGCACGTACTGCTGAACGAACTCCGCGTAGCTTAGGTCAGCCCTGCGCTCCACGGTGCAGCGCTCCTCTTCCGCCACCGCCGCCGGGGCGGCTCCGCGCCGCCTCCTGTGGGCACAGCCGGTCAGCCACCCGGGCGCCCGCCGCGCGCCCCCTCCCTAACCGGCCCGCGCCGCTCACCACCCTCCATCGCCTTCTTCTTTGGGGCCGGGCCGGGCGGGAGCCACCTGCGTCCAGAGCACCAGCAGCAGGAGATTGTGCACCCTCGGCGCCATGAGCCCGCCGCCGCGAGGCTCGACGGGAACTCCGTAGTCGTGGCAACAGCCTAGCGTCGGGAGGGCTCCCGGAAGCGCCTCCTTTGGCCCGCCCACAAGGGGCGTTACCTCCGGAAAGCAGGGGGAAGACCACTGCTAGGGACTTCTATCAGTTCCCGGGGCCCGGGGGGCGTTGCCCTCCCGCCCCACAGAGTTGCTCAATGAGAGGACAGGGCAGCTTCAGACCGTGGTTCCGTTTCCTTTATTTGGTTCACAAGCCTGCCCAGGCTCGTCTCCTCCCTCCCCGGACCACATCAGGAGTACTCGCACAGGTGGCCGCAGCCAGCAGGACAGTGGGAGCTGCCCTCCAGCCACTTCATGATGTGCTGCAGGTGGCCCCCGTGGCTGCAGCCCTGGCACCACACGAACAAGCCCTTGACCACGTGGTGGCAGACTGCGCACATGCTGGCGCAGCGGTGGCACCTGTCGCAGACCCATCCCCGGCTGCTCATGGGCCGCTTGCAGTGGCTGCAGTTGACGTGCAGGGTGGTGGAGGCCTGGTTGAGGCAGCTGATGGCGCGGCTGGTGCTGAGCTTGACCACCTGGTTGGACACGTTCCAGAGGCAGAAGCGCTGCAGCAGGTCGATGTAGGACGCGTACCAGTGCTCCTAATGGTGCGGGGAGGACAGAGGGAGGCGAGAGACCAGAGTCGTGGGCACGGGTTTACCCCAGCATGCTGGGTACCAGCCCAGGCAGGTGTGCAGGGAGGCCCTCCTTCCAGCCGCTCACCAACCTGCGTCTGCTCATCTATGTCCTTGCGCACACGTTCCCCCAGCACGATGAGTACGGACACAGCCATCTGCACATCGCCCTGCTCAGCATAAAAGCGTAGCATGTCGCACACTAGGGCGCTGAAGAAGTCGGGTGGCAGGCGGCTGTCGTAGAGTGCGTGTGAAACAGAGACCAGCGAGAAGGAGGAGTCCATGGGCGCCAGGGAGGCCACATCTGCCTCGCTGCCGCTCACATGTGGCGAGTCTGCCTTGTCCTGTAGGTTCTCCGGGCCTGGTGGCGTGTCCACAATCTCATGGCGCAGCGGGAAGGCCTCCTGGGGCAGCACGTACTCGGGCTCCTCAGCTGTGAGGCAGGGGCCGGGAAGGCAAGGTCTGAGCCTCTGGCCCTGACTCCCAGCCCTGCCCCTCCCAGCCCCCACTCACTGTGGGCGTGATCTGGATCCAGCAGGTATAACTCGTCTTCCTCGCCCTCTACATCGCCCAGCAGGTAGTCAGCAGGCACATCACTACCCTCCGTCTCCTCGTTATCTGCCCATGAGGAAGGGAGGGATGTACACAGCTGGCTGCTTTGGGATGCCCCGGCCCTACTCCCACAATACCCTGTGTTGCCCTCTGGCCTACCCTCATTGGTGATGAGTGTAGCCGAAGAGTCGAGCAGCACCGTGTCGCTCCGTGTGTCACCTTTGCTGCGGTCCAGCCGGGTCTCACTGCCCAGTCCTTGGGCCATATCCTTCAGGTTGAAACTGGGGGCAGGGAGGGCTAATAGGTGGGTAGGCTCCAGCAGTCCCGCCCTCTGAGAGTGCCGCCGCCAGGGATCTACCTGTTCATGAGTGGCAGGCCGCAGGAACTGCCCTTGCCCACGCTGTGATTGAGATTGGCAGTGGGCACCAGGCCAGGGCTACAGTAGATGATCCGTAGCATGGTCCAAGTCTGTGCCACCTAGGAGTGGGCACTGGTCACTCACAGGTCCTGCGTCCCTGTGTCCCATGCAGGCCCTCCTTTTGCCTGGATGGAACTACAAACTCTCTGCATTCATCTGTCCAGGGACCCAGTGTCCTGACCCACCTCAGGTAGGGACACCAAGGCCCATGGGAAAGACAAAAAATTCCAGCCCCCACCCTGTAGGGCACAGAAGCAGCAGCTGAGGGAGGTGGCTGATGAGAGAGGCAGTGTGGACTTATACAGGGCCAGACACCTTAGGAGGTCTGAGCAAGAATGAGCCAGAATTAGGGGGGTTAAGCCTCATGATGCCCCAAAATTGTACCCCTAGGATGGCACTAGTATTTGCTCTGTTCTGGGGCCCTGAGTACCCTCAGTTACTGGGGCAGGTGAGGGTTGGTGAGCGGAACTCAGGGCAGGGGCTGGGTGCAGCAGTTAAAGGAGTCCCCTGACCTTGTCCCAAGGTCATGGTCCCTCAGTCCCCCTCAGCCCCACCTACCTGGTTTCGGCCAAGCTCCCGAGCCACTTTGGAATTGTGGTCACAGAGCTCAGCCAGTGGCCGGCCAGCCAGGGCGTATCGCTCAGCAGTGTCCACAAACCAGCTCATGCTGCCACTGCCAGGCTCCATCTCAAAGACGCTGAGGGCACTGGAGGCGAGACCTGCGAAGGGCTCCGCAGGGTCCAGCTTGCGCTTGAAGAAAATGGGGTGGCGCCGGTCACCAGCACAGGGCTTGCGCCCTGACTCAGCGGCCACTAGGCTCTCCTTAGCCGCGAAGGCCAGGTCCCCGAAGAGGCCATAGCACAGGCCCTCGGGATTGGCACGCTCTACAGGCTGGCTAGCGTCACGGAACAGGTGCTGGCACAGTGTGCTGTCCTTGGAGCCAGAGAGCAGGAAGGAGGGGTCATGCGGATGGCGCCAGGCGATGCCAGTTGTGACATCGCGGTGCTCCTCGAACATGGCTGCTGGCACAAAGGGCCTGCGCACGTCCCACACGTAGATGTTGTGGTCCACCATCATGGAGCATGTGGCCAGGTGGTGGCGGCACTCGGGCCGCCACTTAACTCTGGCCACTGAGGCGATGGTCTGCACGCAGTGCACCTCCTTGGCACGTTGGGTGGTCATGTCCCAGACCTTCACCATCTTGTCACGCCCACCTGTGGCCAGCCAGCCCCTATGGAAGGCCCAGGAAGCCCTCAGTTTCTTCTCTTGGGGCGGGAGGGTTCCCCACTCTCTGACTTACAGGACTTGAGGCAGTGAGAGAGAGAATGCTTCCATGAGTGCCACCCATCCCGTCCTACTGCCCTTGCCCCAGCCCGCCCTATACCTGTCCTCGGGGTGCCAGTCACAGCAGAAGACAGGCCCATTGTGGGCTGTGAACATCCTCTCACAACGGTCAGGCCGCCGAATGTCCCAGAGCTGCACGTTGCCATTCTCAAAGGTGGAGGCGAAAGTGAAGTAGTCCCGGATGCTGAACTGGACGTCCCGCACGCTCTCAGACTGGCCTACGGGAGGATGTCAGTGGGAGAAGGTGAGGGGTGAAGCCCACAGGGGGCTCCAGAAGAGAGAGTGGCCAAGAGGGGAATCCTTGGAGAGGCTGGGACCCTTGGAGTCCTGCCTAGAATAGACAAGAGGCGAGGCCTCACAGACACAACAGCCTTGGCTGGAGAGCAGGACACCAGGCATCAGGTGGTTTCTTTTTAGCTTAGTTTTTAAAAAATACATTTTATTAATTTTTTACAGAGAGGAAGGGAGAGAGAATGAGAGTTAGAAACACTGATGAGAGAGAAACATCAATCAGTTGCCTTCTGCACACCTCCCCCCCCCCCCAAGGGGATGTGTCCACAACCAAGGTACATACCCTTGACAGGAATCGAACCTGGGACCCTTGAGTCTACAGGTCAATACTCTATCCACTTGAGCCAAACCGGTTAAGGCAGTTTCTTTTGTTTTGTTGATCCTCACCTGAGGACATTTTTTCCACTGATTTCAAAACATACCCCAACTGGGGCTGGGGATGGAACCTGCAATGCACGTGTGTGCCCTTGACCAGGAATTGAACCCAAGACCCTTCAGTGCACAGGCCTATGCTCTAACCACGGATCCACACCATGCAGGGTGGCATCAGGTGGTTTCTGATATAAACTCCTGGACCTTGCTTTTCCCTGGATTCTTCTCTGATGTCAGCCCTTGTACAAAGCTGTGGCCTAGCTTCAGGACTGGGTGAACAGGAGGCTCACTGGACCACCTGTCTACGCTCCCCAACGAGTTCTGAGGCCCAGAAGGAGGCATGGATGAGGGTGCCTCAGCCTCTGCCCAGTCCCTCCACCTTGAGCTGAAGTTCTCGGTCAACTCCAGAGGCCAGGAGGCTTTGCGGGTCCATGTCCATCACCATAAACTGGCACACCAAGAGCCTTTGAGCCGTGTCCAGCTTTTACCCCAGCACAGGTAGCTCAGGGTCTGTCTTAAGGGAACTCCTCCCTCAATTCTCCAACGACTCTGCCCTGTGCTTCACGTGGTTTCACTGAGATGGACACGGGAGAACTGTCTCAAGACCACTGACGGGGCTGGGCCTGTTAGGAAAAGAGCCACAGTGGGACCAGGCAGTGCACCCCACCTCTGCATCCCAGGGCTGAGGACTCTGAAGGTCCCAGTGGATTTCCTGCAATGAGGCAGCCTGGGGCTCTGAGGCAAGGAAAGAGGAGGCAGTGAAACCACCATCTCCACAACCTCCGAGGTTGGCTGTAGGTCTGCTCAGGCTCTGCCCTTCCGTCCAATGCCCAGCTGTCCTTTCGGATGCTTCAGAGCTGCAGCCACACTCCAGCTACTCCTCACACTTCAACTAGGCCTTCCTGTCCCTCCCTGCTGACCACCACCTACTCCCTCAGTCCTGCTAAGCTGGCCCCTCCCCCAGGAAGCCCTCTGGGAGCATATATCTGAAGGCTTTTTTTTTTTTTTAATCCTCACCTGAGGATGTTTTTATCTATTATAGAAAGAAGGGGGGAGAGAGAGAGAAACCAATCAATTGTCTCCTGGATGTGCCCCTATGGAGGGTCAAACCCACAACCTAGGTCCATGCCCTGACTGGGAATCCAATGGCAACTTTTGGTGTACGGGACGACTCTCTGACCAACTGAGCCACCAGGCCAGGGGTCCATGCAGCACGTCTTAACCTGCCTGGACAGTCCAGCCACCTGCAAAGACGCACACCTGCCCAACCCGCCTCTGAGGGCCTCACCTGAGAAGGTGCTAACAGAGTCCTTCTTGCGGAGGTCGAAGCACTTCATGAAGCCATCCTGGGAGCCACTGAGCAGCACGTGGGCCTCAGAGGGGTGGAAGCAGACTTTATTCACCGTGCGCTTATGCTCTGTGAACAGCTGGTCCTGCTTGTTACGGGATGGACGGCCCAGGTTCCACGTGACCACCACCCCATTGGTGGCTGCTGTGGCCAGCAGGTTCTCATCCATCTGGTGCCAGACAACATCAGCACAGCTCAGGTTGAGCGAAGGCTTGCGACCCACACGCAGGTTCAGCTTCTCCACAAACTGCTCCTCCTCAATGGCGTAGATCTTGAAGATGCTACGGCCTGCCACAACCACTTGGGCAGCATCGCGACACACACTGATGGCATTGGCTGGAGCGTCCAGGTGGCAGTGCATAGTATGGCCTGTTAGTGCACTGCTACTCAGGGCGGTGGTCACACGGGACATTTTCTCCATGGCTGTACAGGTAGTGGAGACAGGAGGTCAGTGGAGCTGGTTGTACAGGTAGTGGAGACAGGAGGTCAGTCACCATAAAGCAAAGAGATCTGTCAGTTCAAACCCTTCACCCTAGTTGGATCCCCCAAATCTGCGTAGACCTGAGCTAATCAGTCTTGGTGAGCCAGTCCAGAGCAGTCCGTCATTGGTCAGTCAGTCTGATGGACAAGTTCCACCACTCTGGCGGGACGGTCAGAAGGTGCCACAGCTGCCCTGAAGCTGGTCAATCCATGTCTGACTTGTGGGAAAGTTCCTACCTGGTCAGTCACAGCCCAGACCACCTTTCCATCCCCTTAACAGTCAGATCTAGGCAGTCACTGGACCTTTAGTCAGTCAATCCCAACAGAAAAGTGAGGTCGTTACCACCATCCACACAGTTGGCTCCCGGGCTTCCGGGGGACTGAGCAGAGAGCTAGAGGGGGCCTTGGAAGGACAGGGGCGCAGGGCACCCAGAGGAACTTCAAGCTGAGATGTTTAAGGAGCCTGAAGGATCTGGCTGGCGGGATGGGAGGCAAGAGGCGCCGGCGGCTCCGAGGTTGCGGTGGCGTGGGGGAGCGAAGGCAGCGGGAACAGAGTCAGAGAAACTGATGAAACCTCTTCCTCCGTGAGTACCCGAACCATTTAGTAAAGCTGCTCGGCTGGACCGGAAGTGACGCAAAGGAAAGAGTACGTCTCTTTCTTGCCCCCTGTCGGAAGTGAGCTCCCACACCACAATAGTTCCGGGTAAGGAATAGGCGCTGGTGAAGGCGGAGGTTTGGTCCAGGACTGAGGTAGAGGGCTTCCCCCGGTTTCTCCTCGGTGGTTATCTTTTTCTTTCTTTCTTTCTTTCTTTCTTTCTTTCTTTCTTTCTTTCTTTCTTTCTTTCCTTTCTTTCTTTCTTTCTTCTTTCTTTCTTTCTCTTTCTTCTCTCTCTCCTCTCTCTCTCTCTCTCCTCTCTCTCTCTTCTTCTTTCTTCTTTCTTCTTCTTCTCTCTCTCCCTCCTCCCTCCCTCCCTCCCTCCCTCTCCCCTTCCCTCCCTCCCTGCCTTCCTTCCTTCTTTCTTTCTTTTTCTTTTTTTTAAATTCAGTATTTGTTACCAGTGCTCATCTTTCCCTCTATGCATCATCCCTAAATGAGTCCCGATTTCCTACAGTGCTCTCCACCTCCTTTCTCATTTCCCCGGAACCCCAGGAACCCTAGGTTTTCCCTTCTTCTTCTTCTTCTTCTTCTTCTTCTTCTTCTTCTTCAAATATATTTTATTGATTTTTTACAGAAGAATAAAGAGGGATAGAGAGTTAGAAATATCGACCAGCTGCCTCCTGCACACCCCCTACTGGGGATGTGCCCACAACCAAGATACATGCCCTTACCCGGAATAGAACCCGGGGCCCTTCAGTCTGCAGGCCAACGCTCTATCCACTGAGCCAAACCAATTTCAACGGAGTAGGTTTTCTTAAAGGCTTCCCGGGCCACTGTTACCCATGATCTGAACTCCGTACTGCAGTATGTACTATTCTTCGGACTAAGGCGTCCCATAGCTCCCCATCACGTGGTGAATAAATCCCAAATCCCTGATCTTTTTCTCTCCAGCGCACTTCTATCCACAGAGACTTCCATTCTTTATTCCATCTCACCAAGTTCCTGCCTCTCGGCCACCCGTGCTAGGCTCTCCTCTCCAGAACATGCATGCCTTCTTCCCACCCTTGAGTGCTCAGCTTAAGGTCCCGTTCTCAGAGGCCTTCTCTGACCACCTTATCTAACACCAGAAAGCTCCGGTTCCCGGTGAGGGCACATGCTTCATTTGCACACATAGTTGGGTTGCGGGCTTGATTCCCAGTGTGGGATGTGTGGAAGGTAGTTCAACCCATTTGTCTGTTTACTGACTATTATCTGTTACATGTGAATGTGACTCCATCAGGCAGGGATCACATTTGTCTTGGCCTCCACAAACTCCAGTGCCTGAGTGTCTGTTCACACAATCCTGTTAATGACCCTTTATGACCCTCCCTTTCTCTCCTCGGTGGGAGTTCTGGTCTGTCCTTGCTGCATTGTGCGACCTTTTAGGACATCCTGCCCCTCTCTTTAAAAAAAAAAAATTATTGATTTCAGAGAGGGAGATAGAAACATCAATGATGAGAATCATTGATCAGCTGTCTCGTGCACGCCACACATTAAGGATCAAGCCTGAAACCCAGGTATGTGCCTTTGACTAGAATTGAACCTGGACCCTTCAGTCCACAGATCAAATCAGCTAAGGCTCTTCTGACATTTTTTAATAGTGTCCTCTGAACCACAGTTTTTAATTTTGATGAAACCCAATTTTTTTTTAAATTATTGTTGCTTGTGCTTTTGGTGCCATATCTAAGAAACTGGGAGTTTTAGCTCCAGCCCCTCTCTTAAACTCATTTACTTTGTGCATAAAACAAGGTTCATTTTTGCCCTGAACCAGAGAGCTTAGGAACCTTCCCTGTTTGGTCAGCACCATAGCACCCAGACTCTATATTTGTTGAAAAAACTAACAAGTTTGCTGAAACCGGTTTGGCTCAGTGGATAGAGCATCGGCCTGCGGACTGAAAGGTCCCAAGTTCGATTCCGGTCAAGGGCATGTACCTTGGTTGCGGGCACATCCCCAGTAGAGGGTGTGCAAGAGGCAGCTGACTGATGATTCTCTCTCATTGATGTTTCTAACTCTCTATCCCTCTTTCTTCCTCTCTGTAAAAAATCAATAAAATATTTAAAAAACAAAGAAAACAACAAGTTTGAGAAGTGGAGAGGTGCACAAGAATCCAGAGACATAGGCCCCTCAGGCAGATATACCTTCCCCATCATAGCTTGATTACCTAAAAACAACTCAGACACATGTTTTTACAACCTTTTTAATATATATTTTTATAAACAGGTCACGTGATAAAATAGCACAAGAAACACTTACCAAATATAAGGTTATATCTTCCGCATATACAGGAGAATGAGGTCATTATGTACAATAAGAAAATGATTTTAGGGGTTGGTTGGTTTTGTTTTCCTCTCTCCCCTTAATCTTTCCTTCTACAGTCGTTGGAAATATCACAGCTTCAGTTGCATTAATACTTTGGACAAGTGGACAGCGGCCACCTCTCACGAAGGAGCTGTGGGAGGGGCTAAAGAAACTGGCTCCTCACCACTTCAGCCCAGGAGCCTCTGCGAGCACTCCAGGGGCAGGAAGATCTTTGGGCTGTTGAACTGTTTCTATGCTTCAATAGTATCTCTTGTTCCCTCCCTCCCTCTCTCTCTCTCTCTCTCTCTCTCTCTCTCTCTCTCTCTCTCGAACTGGTTACTCTCTTCCAACCAGATTGGGGTGGGTGGGCAGGATGTCCCAAGATTAGGTGTGGGCACTGTATCTCCTGGGGTTCAAGGTTGGGATGGAAAGGGGTCCCAGCCCCCCTCCTCAGCAATTGCCATGATGTGCCAGCATCCCCTAGGACTTCCAAGTGTTGGGATCTGACAGATCATGGCCAGGGCCCAATAGGGCCAGCAAAAGTTCGGGCAGCTGGGGAGGGGTGGGGGTGGCTAGAAATGAGCCCTCCCTCCCTCTGGGCGCTAAGGGTGTGCTGGCTGCTGGAAGCTGGCTGCTGCTGACCCTGAGCCTGGACTGGGGCCCACTTTTCCAGTTTCTAATATAGAGAGACCTGGCCAAGGTGAAGTGTGTCACTGGGAGGCCTGGGCCTAGCTAGCTACAGGGGTGCAGTGAAGGGTCCACCCGGGACTGCTCCCAAGGCCTGTGGGCCCTGAGGCTTGCTCCAGGGTCTCCCAAGGTAGCTGTACCACCTCTGGGTTGAGATGGACAGAGCTGGTTGGGCTAATGTTGATTGTGCCAAGGTCATTGTCACCCATTCTGCACCGCTCCCAACCTAATTCAGCCCCAGTCTGGCAGGGCCTAGGGACTTGTAGGCCTGGGGGTAGGGATGGGCAAGCAGGAGACTGTCTCACACAGTGCCAAAGAAGAGGGGAGGTGGCTTAGGTCAGGCTGGAGTGAAGTGGGGGAAGGGCGGGCGGGACTTGGGCTCCTTGGAGGGCCATGGCTTTGGCGGCGGCCTGTTTCCCCTCGCACCCCCTGGAGGGCTCTACGTGAGGTGCGGTGGAAGATGCAGGCAGCCCATGGGGCTCTTCCGGGCCCCCGTGTCCTGGGAGACCCAGCCCCCCTCAATCCCACCGGGCCCCTTCCCGAGACGGGAAGGACAGCCGGGGAGTCAGAGGGGAGTGAGGTGGGGAAGGCGATGAGGACGGTGAGAGCTTAGAACGCCTCCCAGGCCCAGGCCCCGCCCCCACCCCCGCCCCCAGTGGGCGTGCGATTTGAGGGAAGTGGCTGCGGAGGGTGGGCGTGCAGGGCGGGCACGAGGGGCATGCACAAATCCCCGAGTGTGCGTGCGTGCGTGGGGCGGGCGCCACCCGTTTCCCCGCTTCTCCCGGCCTGGGCGGGCCCCGGAGGGCAGCGGAGGGCCGCGGGGCAGGGCTTTCCCTTGCTTCGCTGGACCTCCCGCGCCGGACAAGGAAGTGCGGGGAAAGTGGTCCGAGGAGCGCCCTCGGGGCCCCGCCCAGAGCTAGGCGGGTTCCAGCGACGGGGGCGAGGGGACCCTCGCTACTCGATGACGAGGCAGCGGGGCAGGTGCTGCGAGAAGTACTTGAAGAGTTCGGGGGTGGCCCCGGGGCAGTTGGTCAGCTCCAGCTCCTCCAGCTCCTGCAGCTGCACCAGGCCCGACAGCCCGGTGGTGGTCAGCAGCGGGCATCCTGCGGGGACCGGGCGGCTGAGTGGGCGGGGCCGGGGGAGGGCGGCGGGTGGGGGCGGGGCCAGCCTGAGCTGGGCGGGCTGGGGCCTGCCGGGATCTCCCTCTGATGGCCGGGACCTGGATCCGCACAAGGGACCCCGCGGGTTTGGTGGAGGCGGGCAAAGTGTGTGTGTGCGTGTGCGTGTGATCACTGCTCAAGAGGGCGGCCGGGGTGTGTGTGTGTGTGTGTGTGAGTGTGATCACTGTCCAGGAGGGCGGCCGGGGTGTGAGTGTGTGTGTGTGTGATCACTGTCCAGGAGGGCGGCCGGGGTGTGAGTGTGTGTGTATGTGTGTGTGTGATCACTGTCCAGGAGGGCGGCCGGGGTGTGAGTGTGTGTGTGTGTGATCACTGTCCAGGAGGGCGGCCGGGGTGTGAGTGTGTGTGTATGTGTGTGTGTGTGATCACTGTCCAGGAGGGCGGCCAGGGTGTGAGTGTGTGTGTGTGTGTGTGTGTGTGTGTGTGATCACTATCCAGGAGGGCGGCCGGGGTGTGAGTGTGTGTGTGTGTGTGTGATCACTGTCCAGGAGGGCGCCGGGGTGTGAGTGTGTGTGTGTGTGTGTGTGAGTGTGATCACTGCCCAGGAGGGCGGCCGGGGTGTGTGTGTGTGTGTGTGTGTGTGTGAGTGTGATCACTGTCCAGGAGGGCGGCCGGGGTGTGTGTGTGTGTGTGTGTGTGTGTGTGTGATCACTATCCAGGAGAGCGGCCGGGGTGTGAGTGTGTGTGTGTGTTTGAGTGTGATCACTGTCCAGGAGGGCGGCCAGGGTGTGAGTGTGTGTGTGTGTGTGTGTGAGTGTGATCACTGCCCAGGAGGGCGGCCAGGGTGTGAGTGTGTGTGTGTGTGTGTGTGATCACTGTCCAGGAGGGCGCCGGGGTGTGAGTGTGTGTGTGTGTGTGTGTGAGTGTGATCACTGTCCAGGAGGGCGCCGGGGTGTGAGTGTGTGTGTGTGTGTGAGTGTGATCACTGTCCAGGAGGGCGGCCAGGGTGTGAGTGTGTGTGTGTGTGTGTGTGAGTGTGATCACTGCCCAGGAGGGCGGCCAGGGTGTGAGTGTGTGTGTGTGTGTGTGTGAGTGTGATCACTGTCCAGGAGGGCGCCGGGGTGTGAGTGTGTGTGTGTGTGTGAGTGTGATCACTGTCCAGGAGGGCGGCCAGGGTGTGAGTGTGTGTGTGTGTGTGTGTGTGAGTGTGATCACTGCCCAGGAGGGCGGCCAGGGTGTGAGTGTGTGTGTGTGTGTGTGTGTGAGTGTGATCACTGCCCAGGAGGGCGGCCAGGGTGTGAGTGTGTGTGTGTGTGTGTGTGAGTGTGATCACTGCCCAGGAGGGCGGCCAGGGTGTGAGTGTGTGTATGTGTGTGTGTGAGATCACTGTCCAGGAGGGCGGCCGGGGTATGAGTGTGTGTGTGTGTGTGTGTGTGTGTGAGTGTGATCACTGCCCAGGAGGGCGGCCGAGGTGTGTGTGTGTGTGTGTGTGTGTGTGAGTGTGATCACTGTCCAGGAGGGTGGCCGGGGTGTGTGTGTGTGTGTGTGAGTGTGTGTGAGTGTGATCACTGTCCAGGAGGGCGCCGGGGTGTGAGTGTGTGTGTGTGTGTGTGTGAGTGTGATCACTGCCCAGGAGGGCGGCCGGGGGTGTGTGTGTGTGTGTGTGTGTGTGTGAGTGTGATCACTGTCCAGGAGGGCGGCCGGGGTGTGTGTGTGTGTGTGAGTGTGATCACTGTCCAGGAGGGCGGCCGGGGTGTGTGTGTGTGTGTGTGTGTGTGTGTGTGATCACTATCCAGGAGAGCGGCCGGGGTGTGAGTGTGTGTGTGTGTTTGAGTGTGATCACTGTCCAGGAGGGCGGCCAGGGTGTGAGTGTGTGTGTGTGTGTGTGTGAGTGTGATCACTGCCCAGGAGGGCGGCCAGGGTGTGAGTGTGTGTGTGTGTGTGTGTGATCACTGTCCAGGAGGGCGCCGGGGTGTGAGTGTGTGTGTGTGTGTGTGTGAGTGTGATCACTGTCCAGGAGGGCGCCGGGGTGTGAGTGTGTGTGTGTGTGTGAGTGTGATCACTGTCCAGGAGGGCGGCCAGGGTGTGAGTGTGTGTGTGTGTGTGTGTGAGTGTGATCACTGTCCAGGAGGGCGCCGGGGTGTGAGTGTGTGTGTGTGTGTGAGTGTGAGATCACTGTCCAGGAGGGCGGCCAGGGTGTGAGTGTGTGTGTGTGTGTGTGTGTGAGTGTGATCACTGCCCAGGAGGGCGGCCAGGGTGTGAGTGTGTGTGTGTGTGTGTGTGTGAGTGTGATCACTGCCCAGGAGGGCGGCCAGGGTGTGAGTGTGTGTGTGTGTGTGTGTGAGTGTGATCACTGCCCAGGAGGGCGGCCAGGGTGTGAGTGTGTGTATGTGTGTGTGTGAGATCACTGTCCAGGAGGGCGGCCGGGGTATGAGTGTGTGTGTGTGTGTGTGTGTGTGTGTGAGTGTGAGTGTGATCACTGCCCAGGAGGGCGGCCGAGGTGTGTGTGTGTGTGTGTGTGTGTGTGAGTGTGATCACTGTCCAGGAGGGTGGCCGGGGTGTGTGTGTGTGTGTGTGAGTGTGTGTGAGTGTGATCACTGTCCAGGAGGGCGCCGGGGTGTGAGTGTGTGTGTGTGTGTGTGTGAGTGTGATCACTGCCCAGGAGGGCGGCCGGGGTGTGTGTGTGTGTGTGTGTGTGTGTGAGTGTGATCACTGTCCAGGAGGGCGGCCGGGGTGTGTGTGTGTGTGTGAGTGTGATCACTGTCCAGGAGGGCGGCCGGGGTGTGTGTGTGTGTGTGTGTGTGTGTGTGTGTGATCACTATCCAGGAGAGCGGCCGGGGTGTGAGTGTGTGTGTGTGTTTGAGTGTGATCACTGTCCAGGAGGGCGGCCAGGGTGTGAGTGTGTGTGTGTGTGTGTGTGAGTGTGATCACTGCCCAGGAGGGCGGCCAGGGTGTGAGTGTGTGTGTGTGTGTGTGTGATCACTGTCCAGGAGGGCGCCGGGGTGTGAGTGTGTGTGTGTGTGTGTGTGAGTGTGATCACTGTCCAGGAGGGCGCCGGGGTGTGAGTGTGTGTGTGTGTGTGAGTGTGATCACTGTCCAGGAGGGCGGCCAGGGTGTGAGTGTGTGTGTGTGTGTGTGTGAGTGTGATCACTGTCCAGGAGGGCGCCGGGGTGTGAGTGTGTGTGTGTGTGTGAGTGTGATCACTGTCCAGGAGGGCGGCCAGGGTGTGAGTGTGTGTGTGTGTGTGTGTGTGAGTGTGATCACTGCCCAGGAGGGCGGCCAGGGTGTGAGTGTGTGTGTGTGTGTGTGTGTGAGTGTGATCACTGCCCAGGAGGGCGGCCAGGGTGTGAGTGTGTGTGTGTGTGTGTGTGTGAGTGTGATCACTGCCCAGGAGGGCGGCCAGGGTGTGAGTGTGTGTATGTGTGTGTGTGAGATCACTGTCCAGGAGGGCGGCCGGGGTATGAGTGTGTGTGTGTGTGTGTGTGTGTGTGTGAGTGTGATCACTGCCCAGGAGGGCGGCCGAGGTGTGTGTGTGTGTGTGTGTGTGTGTGAGTGTGATCACTGTCCAGGAGGGTGGCCGGGGTGTGTGTGTGTGTGTGTGAGTGTGTGTGAGTGTGATCACTGTCCAGGAGGGCGGCCGGGGTGTGTGTGTGTGTGTGTGTGTGTGTGTGTGTGATCACTGTCCAGGAGGGCGCCGGGGGTAGTCTCACCTGCCACAGACAGGAGCCGCAAACTCCTCATGGCCAGGAGGTGCTTCAGCCCGAAGTCCTGCACCTGGGCGGGAGGGCGGAGCGAGTTAACTATTCTGCTCGGCCCTGTAGGAGCCCCACTCCTGGGGTCAGGCCGCTGGCCTGGAACTGCTGGAGGGGCAGGGAGCGGGGTTCAAAACTCGGGTTTCTCAGCGCCCCACGGAGCCAGGAGGCAGCTGGGGAAAGCCGTTGAGGGCCCTGGGGGCGCCGCACATTCTGTTTATGTCGGCCGGCCGCTGGGTACGGAGGGATCCCAGACTTCCTTACAGGATCTGAGTGGGCCGGAAGCAGATCAGAGGGCTGTGGGCCGGGGCATTCCCTGAGCCCCCCTCCTCCCCCGCCTACTTCCCAACATCCAGAGGCGCAGAGGGCCGGTACCTGGCAGCACCATCGCAGGTAGAGGCTGCGGAGGGACGACATGGTAGATAAGTAGCTGAGGCCAGTGTCCGTGATGCGCACACACCTGTTGGTGCAACAGAGTGGGGCTGTCCACTTCCAGTACACTGCTGTTCCCTCAGCTCCAAGCCCACACTCCTTTTCCTGGGGTCCCCTGGTGTGAACTCACCCCCTGCCTTCCTTCCCATAGCCCCCATGTCACCCACACCAGGCCCCTCCCCCCCCCCGCTCCCAACCCTGCTGCAGCCCCCCCTACTTACAGCCCCATCCCGCCCCCGTGGCCCGGGGGTGGGGGCGGACGCACATACCTGTCCAGCACCAGCTCCTCCAGCCGGTGCAGGTCGCAGGCCACGTACTCCAGCGCCATGTCGGTGATGCGCGGGCACCACGAGAGGTCGAGGCTGCGCAGCTTGCGCAGGTTCTCGGCCACGAGCTCGACGCCGTCATCCGTGACCTTCGAGCAGCCCGAGAGGCTCAGCGCCGTGAGGTTGGGCAGGCTGTGCACCACGTTGACCACGCCGTGGTTGGTGATCTCCCAGCAGGAGAGCAGGCGCAGCGTGTGGGTGCTGTGGCCCTGGCGCGCCGTGAAGTAGGCCAGCGCCGTGTCCGTCACGTGGTAGGCCTGCAAGCTCAGCTCGGCCAGGTTGGGCAGCAGCTGCGAGATGGCCGCGATGGCGTCGTCCGCCACGTTGATGCAGTCACTCACGCTCAGCGAGGTGATGCGGGCGCTCAGGCTGGACCACAGCCCCGCCTCGGTGAAGTCGTTGCAGCCGGACAGCTCCAGGCGGACCACGCCCTGCATCTGCTCCAGCATCACCTGTGGGCGGGCCAGGGGGCGTGACCTTCAAACTCACCGTGGTTCCCTGGGTGTGCCCCTCCCCATGGGGCATGGTGAGGAGAACAGGAGATCGGGTAGAAGGAACCCTGTCCTCCGTGTGAACATACATGGAGCTGTACTCTTGGATAAGTGCCCTTTATCGCATTCCTGTCACACCTCAGCCACACTGAAAGAGGAGGCAGGGTACAGGGAACCGGGAGCCCAGGGCCTGGCTAGAGCACGTGCCCAGAGCAGTTGGTGTTAATGATCAGATGCTTCGAGTCCAGATCCCAAGAAGGCGCCACCTGCACCTCTGCCTTTTGCCCTGCTCCCCGCACCCCCCAGTTACCCCTAAAATCCTCCCCACTGGCATGCAGGGCCGGCGTTCAGAAAGACCTGACACTTACGAACTGCTTTCCTGTCCCTGTCTTGAAATTCTAAATCATCTATGCACAAGGCACTTGCATTTTCATTATGGACCGGGTTGCTCAGATTATGTAACCAGTCCTGCTTTCACCTCTCCCAGAGCCATGCTCCCCCTCAGGGCATCGGTGCGGCCCTCAGCTACCTTGCTCCTGTGCTTAGGTGCCTGAGCTTCCTCTGGGTCCCCCCCCCCCCCACCTGCCGCTCTGCTGCTGCCCAGCCCTGCCCCATACCCGTCCCTCTGAGCCGGCAGCGGGACACACCTCCAAGCCCGCGTCAGTGATGGTGGAGCGCTTGAGGCTCATGGCCTTGACGCCCTTCTTGGACAGGGCGTAGTTGTCGATGAACTCACAGATATCCAGGTCGGAGACGCCCACCAGGCAGAAGCCTTCGAAGCCACGTGCCGCGAAGCCCTGCAGGTTCACGAACTCCTTCTCACCGCCGGGCAGCACGTTGTAAAGCTCCTTGGCATGCAGCACGGGCGTGAGGCCCGCCCAGAACTTGGGCTGGTAGAGCACCCGCCGCCAGGTCTTGCACACCTGGGCCAGCACGCACTTCTCACAGGCCGAGAAGTACCAGAAGAGGCCATTGAGGACCTTTTCATCTGTGGCCAGTGGCGGCCGCTCCACGGGGGGCCCAGGTGCAGGGGCTGAGGCCGGTCCACCGAGGGGGATCCCTGCTGGGGGGCACAGGCCCCCAGCCAGGGCAGCCCGGGGCAGCGGGGCAGCCAGGCTGGGCGGTGGGAGAGTGGGTGGGGGCAGTGGCTGGCAGGGGCGGTTCCTGGCGGCGGGTGTACCCTTGGTGATACTGGCCGCACCCAGACCGTTGGGCTGGCCCGGCAGCTTCACCAGGCCGTTTCGAGGCAGGCATGGGGGCTTGGGGTCGCCGTCGACTCCGGGACTGGACATCTTCCTCCGTCACTCTGCAGACAGGGCCCGGAGTGAGGAGTGAATCTCATGCTCGCTCTGGGAGGGCAGAAAAGAGCCGGCCCCCTCCTGTCCCCCGGGTGTCCCCTCCCAGGACACTCCTAGAGTCACCCGACAGAGAGGATCAAAGTGCAAGCCTCCCTCCCCCATGGAGCAGCCCAGGACGGGGCCAGTCTCTGAGCGCCTAGCGTGTGCACTGAGCTCAGCCTGCACCCACGCACAGCGCTTTTCCACATCCAGGCACAGCGGTGCTTGTTTTACAGAGGAGAGAACAGAGGTGGAGAGAGACACGTTGCTCACCCGTTACTGCTCTCTTCACCTTTGCTGCTCTGGGGCCCGCCCTCAGTGCCTGCCAGGCCCAGCCCCACTGCATGGGGGCTGTACGACTAAGGGAAGGATTGAGGGCAGTCGCTGGCCTCTCACGGTGGGGTGCCGGCGTGGCTCTGTGGAGTAGTCCCAGTACTCTGAGATTCACACACCAGCCCCTGAGAATCTCCGTGGCTACAGGAGGTTCTGTAGCTCAGAATCTACCCAAAGGAAGGGCAGGTGGCTTCCCAGAGGTTACGGGATATCAGCACAGTGAGCCCTGGACCATACTACCCCTTTTTTTTTGTTGTTGTTCATCCTCACCCGAGGGTATTTTTCCATTGATCTTTTAGAGAGAGCGTGGAAGAGAGAGGGAAAGAGAGAGAAACATTGATATGAGAGAATCACATCGATTGGTTGCTTCCTGCACACGCCTGGGGAGAAGCCTGCAACCAAGGTATGTGCCCTCGACCAGATCAAACCTGGGACCCTTCGGTCTGCACGCCAGCACTCTATCCACTGACCCAAACTGGTCAGGGCACATATTATCTCTTTAATCCTCCACCTAGTTCATTGAGGATAATGCTGTGGTGACGTAACCATTGACCAGACGGGGAAGCCAAGCTGAGGCAGCGTGAATTGCTTGCACAGGGTCACAGTGGCGGAGCAGAGCTGGTTACGGAAGGCTATGTGAAGGGGGGCTCCCCAGAGTGGGGCTGAGACCACCCTGGCTCCCCTTCTTAGGCCTCCAATTCTCTAAAAGATCAATGGAAAAATACCCTCGGGTGAGGATGAACAAGTCTGTGAGTGGGTGTCGGAGGGCACAGGCCACAGACGGCCCTTGGGAGATGGGGCAGCGGCACTCTCACAGTGCTACCCTTTCTCTACGTTCCAGATACCCCGCCCACCAGACACCCAGCGAGGCGGCTGTGCACTGTGTTCCTCCAAACGGTCCCACACTGGACTCAAAACAGGCCCCGCCTTGGCTGTGTGGCCTGGGCAAGGTCTTCTCTTCTCCAAGCCTCACTTTCCTCACTCAGAAGCCAGAGAGGTGACTACCTCCTCCATCGGACAGCATGTGCAGAGGGCTATGCATGGTGCACGGCTTACAACAGGCACTTAGAAAATGACACGGAAATTGCTTCTAAACCCTGCAGCCTGCTCGAGTGGAAGGGGACTGGAGCCACTGGGAACGAGGGAGGTAAGTGGGTAGTCCCACCCTGCTCTTCCCAGCACCACACCCTCTACTGCTTCCAAGCCCTGGACAGGACAACCCTTGCTAGCATTCCATGTCTGGAGAGGGTGCACAGGCCTGGGACACATGGCTTTCATAACTGCCCACCCAGCTTTGGGCCCCAAAGCCTTCCTGACCTGGCAGCCATGAGCCTCTACGCTAGAGTCCATCCTGGGCCCTGCCCACCCTCACCCCCCCCCCCCAAAAAAAAGAGGCTCCCACACCTTGGCTAGCCCCTCACTAGCTCATGACCAGGTAACTCATGACTTCACACAGGTTGATCCATGACATTTATAATTTCTGCCAATCACCCACTGGAATGATCACAGATTTCAGCCTCAGAGCAGCTTGGGGGCAGGGGTCTTAGATCAGGCTCCAGGGAGTTACAGTTTTCCCAGTGGCAGGGGTGGTGTGACGTGAGGGCTGCCCTTAATGCCAGAACAGGAGGAGGGGCCATCGTGGCCAGCAGTGCTTCACGGAGTGACGGATGAAGGCCACAACTGGCTCCTACTCCTGGGCCCCGGGGGAGAGAATATCCACGTAACTCCCACCCCCGGGCTGCTGGGTGCAGGGAAGCAGCCCCAGGCTGAAAACCTCCGGTGTTCCCGGAGCAGGGCTCCGTTATTTCATCCCTCAGGGCGCGCCGCCCACCCGGCCTTGGCCGCCTCCCACATCGAGGCGGGGCCGGCTGGGCCCTCGGCGTGCAGCACCATGGACAGCGCCCCGCGCAGCCGCTGTGCGCGTGCTCGAAGGCGAGGCCCGGCCGCCTCCACCGCGGACAGCGGCTGGCGGTGTGGCGCTGTGTGGGAGCCGGATCCGGCAAACCCAGCTTAGCAGGGAGGGGCTCCGGAGGCGGAGGGGGGTGCAGGGGAGAGGCAAGAAGCCGCCCGGTTCGTCTAAGATCCCGAGGAGGCAGCGGAGGCGGCACTAGGGGAGAAATAACTCAAGAGCAGATTTAGACTGAAATGCTTCCAGCCATGGGTGTGCACGTGGAGTGCCTGAGTTGGGGGATGCACGTGGATGCCCCCCCACCCCCCCGCCCCGAACGGTGAGGCTCCCTTCCTGTCCCCCACTGGAGCTCACATTTGCACACGTCCACAGCCCTATCTCCACCCCCGGGGCCTCAGGGCCAAGCTGGGGAAACAAACTTGCCTCTGGGAGAGAGCCCTCAGAAGGAGTGGCCAGGCCCAGGTTGACACTCAGTGGGGGTGGAGGAGGGGGGAGGTGTCTGAGGTCTGGCTGCCCTTCATCCCACCCTCCACTCCCTCCCCTGGCCAGAGGGTACTGCCTTGACTGTCAACCAGCCCTCCTGACCCCTACCCCCATGCCCTGGATCAGAACTGCCTCTCTAACAGAGGCAGCCCTGCTGCTCCTCAGCGTGTCCATGGTCCTGCTGTGTTCCAGCTGTTCCTCACACTCCAGCCTCACCGACCCAGCGTGAGAACCCCCCGTTCTGTAGCTCAAAATTGGAAACAGCCACACTTTGGCCCAGGGGGTCAGGGCTTTGGAGAAAGGTGAGCTCAGGGTCAGAGACTGGTCTTCCTGCCAGTTAGGTCCATGCAGGGCTAGGACAAGGGCCCCTTTGCCTGGCCCAAGCTCCATCCACCTAGCCAGATGGGTTGCAGTGCCCCTACCTTCCTGGTACCCGTGGCTGCACCCAGTGGGGCTTGAAGGTCCTGCTTGGAGTTTCCTGTCAGGAGGGAGTAGGGACAGCTGCCAGTCTCCTGGAGGCTGCCTCTCCATTTAGGGAAAAATACCAGGAGCTAATGCTGGGAAAAGAGGCTTTTCAAAAGGATGGCCACACTTGTACTATCACTAGCCTCAGCGCTGGTGGGTTGCTCCTCGGTGTGGAGTAGAATTACAGGGGATGTCCCCAGAGCTTGAGGCTCCTGGGGTCACCCCAGGGGAAGGAGGAAGATGGTGGCCATTATTTTAGTTGTCTTGTCCCCCTCAGCCTCAACCAGAGCTGGATCGGGGTGCCACTTGGGAGAGCCTCTGTGTTTCCCTAGCAGACTTACAGTGAAGCATGGCAGCCGGAGTGGACTTAGGAACAGGGCGAGGTCCCGGGGACTCCTGGGAGGACTCAGAACTTTGTGACTTGCAGGCTTACAGCATGCAGAGAGCCATGCTGGGCTTAATGAGGAGCTGCCTCCTCTGAAGATCATTGCTAGGCCCTGAGACCCAGGTCAACACCAGGCCCGAAAGGATCCCTCCGGGCACTGAGGAAGCATCTTCAGGGTCTCAGCTGGGTATCATCACTGTCTACCCACTGGCCTCTCCCCTTGGCTGGGGGCTCCTTGAGGAAAGATGGCACCAGGGCTTAGGGGCCTCTCAGTGCTTGCTTGCTTGCTTGCTTGCTGAATGAATGAACGGACGAGGACTGGCAATCAGTTAGCAGGGTCATGCAGAAAGGGTGTGGCTACCTAAAGCCCGTGAGGCTTGATGGAGGACAGGTTAGATTAAGAAGAGGGCAGTCCGAGGAGGAGCTACAACTCAATTCATCACTCCCGGTTGTGACAGAGGCCAGTGTCCAAAGGGGAGGGAAGCCGCTGGTTGGGTTGGTAGCAGAGTCTCTGAGAAGGCCCCCAAGTCCCTGGGGCTTGAGGTGGGCCTTGCAGTTATTCAGACCCTTGGGAACTGCGGGGTTGAGGAAACTGGCGGCCTGCCCGCCATAATCTGGCCAGACCCAACGAGAAGGGGACAGGCACGATCAGGAGGGAGGGAAGCTAGTGGTCCTGCTCTTCCCAGCACCACACCCCTCCCTGCTGCGCCGAGTCCTTCACACACTGCCTAGCCATCCGACAGAGCGACAGAGCGGGGAAAGCAGGGCTCAGAGAGTAAACTTTCAGAAGTTGTACCAGTCTGGGATTTGACTTCAAGATCCCCATCTGCCTGACTCCCTAAACCCAGGCCAGGCCCAGTGGCCCAGGGGGCAACCCAGGGTCCCCAGCCAGCCTGTCACTGTCCAGGCACACCTCCTGTGACCTCTTTTCTCTGCCCTGTTCTGCTTACACACCTGTGCCCTCCCAGTTGGGTACCCTGGGCTGGTGGTCTCTCCCCCCATTGTCCCCGTCACATCCTAATCTCCTTCCAGAGGCTGCAAGCTGCATGTCCACCACTGGAACACTGTTCTTTTGGATTGTTCATTCCTGGGAAACTCTCCACCCCTCATGATCCCGCTCTCGAAGGACTCTTCCTCCATCTCTGATACCCCCATCTGACAGAGCCTGTCCTGAATACCAGAGGGCCTGACCCCAGCTACACCTGCCTGGGCAGGGCATGGGTAGCCAGAAAAACTCACATAGACCGATCCGTGGTGGTAACCCCAGGGACCGGGTGACAACCAGGGCAGTTTGGGATTGGGGGTGTGGTGCAGGCTGACACATTCCATGACAAACCCCGTGACTCAGGCACATTCGCATCCCCGTCACTTTGCACATGTCCTAGCCGCAGTGCTCCCCTCCCGCCCCCAGCTTAGAGATGCTTCTGGGGTGCAGGCTGCCCCCCCCCCCCTCCATGCACCAGGGGCTCGGAGAAGGGAGCACGTGGCCTCCAGAGGGATTGGAGTTCATGCTCCCACGGTCTTCTGGCCAAGCTCGGGGCAGCTCAGCCAGGTGAGACCGGTGCCTTGGGGAGTGGGTGTGAGGTTTCAGGCCTCATCCAAGCCCCTGTGCTCTGAGGCACCTGAGCACCCAGGGCCTGAGCCTGGGGTGTTCCGTGCCTGCTTCTTGGGGCGGCTGCCTCAATCCCTCCCCCTCTTCCCTGCCAAGGAGGGGAAGGTGGCCCAAGCGGGGTGTTCTTGCTGAAGTTCCTCCAGTCCATGTGCAGAAAGGATTCTGAGCCACCCACGGACCCCACAGACCTTCCTTCCCTGCCGCCTGCACCCTTCCCGTGCCAGCCTCAGAGACCCATGTCGCCAAAGGGGGCCAGCCAAGGAGCTCCTCCCCTGCCTCCGAGGCAGATGCCGCCCTGGCTTTCAGCAGTGCGGCCTTCCTGCCTGGGCCCGGCTGTCTGGAGGGCACCAGGTCCCCCAACCTCAGGTTCACCTGTTTTCTTCTCATCAGTGGGAGACAGGACTCGCTCAAGTGCCCAGGAAGTGGGTGTGAGCTGGAGGGTGGCAAATGTCTCATGACCCTCCGCAGCCTGGGCCAAGGTGAGGGGTGGCTGAAGTGGGGAGCTAGAGAGAGGAGGCGGCAAGCACTGGGGGAGCTATCCTGGGGTCCTGTGGGGCCCGAACAGCCCACCCTGCGAGCCCATGTTTATGACTGGGACATGCCTTTTTCTCCCCTCCGGACAGCTCTGGTCCAGCCCTGTGGCCACTTCCTGCCGAACCCATGGGTCTCCATCTAGCTTCTGGCTTGTGGGACCCCGGACTTCTCAGGCCTTCTGCACCGAGGCTGCTGTCCAGCAGCCTTCAAAGGAGCCTGGTGGAGGAAGGGGCCCAGGGCCTGCCTGGCACTGGGGAGGCCTGAACTGCCTCTGGTCACTGGGCCCTGGGAGGTGGCGGTGTGGGGAGGGGCCTGCTGGAGGGAGCAGGTGAGGTGGCATCCACCATCTGCTCTCTCCCAGAGGGGAGGCTGCCTGTGCAGAGGAAGGGAGGGGCTGGAGGAGTGGCCGCTGGGTCTTTGGCTCCTTGAGGTTCCAACAGCCAGGACTTCTCTCCTTCTGGGGTGATCGGTGCTCCATTCTCCCCACCTGCTCAAACTCCAGGGGGACAGGCCCCCCTCCCCAGCAAGTCTCAGGGCCCCCATTTCCCCTTCCGAGGCCCTCCAGCTTTGGCTAAGGCCTGACCCCTCCTCCAGAACCAGGCATGTGCTCAGTCCCCTCCTTCTCCCACTGTGCCAGCTCCATACAGGCCCGGGGCCAGAAGCTGTCCAGAGGCAGACAGGCCCTTGGGCTGGGCATCCACACGGCTCCACCTGGAGGGTAATGCATCTAACGCCTCTCTCACAGCCCAAGGGGCTGGTGGTGCTGAGGCCGGGAGCACGGAGCTCAGCTGTGGTCCAGGACCTCACCCAAGCAGGCGAGCTGGGGGCCTGCAATTCCGCTTCCAGGGGATACTGTCAGGAAGCACCGCCCCACAGTATCGGTCCAGTTGCCATGGGGAGTGGGCCTCCACCAGGCCATCCATTGGGGCAAGGGGCTGTGGGAAGGGCTGACAGGGCCCGATGCCCAGCAGCCAAGGCCAGGGGAGGGGATGCGGTTACATAAGCCTTCAGGGGCGGCAGAGGCACCGTCTCAAGCCCCCTCCCCACCCTCGCACTGTGGTCGCATCCGCTGCGTAGCCGGCCCCCCACCCCACCCCGCAGCCAGTCCGGGAGGGAGCACACACCTTACCTCGGCCCGGGCTCCTGGCTCATGCCACGCTGCTCGCCGGGCTTCCTCCCGTCATTGGGAGCCCGGCAAGAGAGCCGGCGGAGCGGGAAGGCGGCGGCGGTGCTGGCCTGGCCGGCAGGGCCCGGCCGCACCCCGCGCCCGGTGCCCCGGCCCGGCTGCCACTCCGGCCTCACCCCAGAGGAGCTCCCCGGTGGGCGAGGATCGGCTGCCCCAAGCCCCCCACAGGGGAGGCTGAGGCCGTGCCCAGATAAATAAGGCCGCTTTGCAGGGAGCCGGGCGGGCGCCTTCTCCCTCCCCTCGCCCTCCTCCCAGCGCTCCTCCTCCCCCCTCCTCCCCACGCTCCTCCGCGGCCGCCGGCGGCGCCGCGCGCGCCCTCCCTGCCCCCGCCGGCCGGGCCCTGCGCGCCGCGCCTCCGCGCGCTCCCGGTTCCGGGAGCTGATCCGGGCCGGGGAGCCGATCCGGGCCGGGGAGCCGATCCGGGCAGGGGGGCCGATCCGGGCCGGGGAGCCAATCCGGACCGGGGAGCCCGGCGGGAGGGCCGCGATGCCGAGCCCCGCCCCGCCCGCCGCGCACACCGCGCGCTCCCGCCGCGGCGCCCACGGGCACGCGCCGCTCCGGCGGCTCCCCGCCCCCGCCCTCGCCGCGGGCGCCCGCACAATAACAAACACGGGCGCGCGGCGGCGCGGGGACCGGAGGGAAGGGCAAGAGGAGGGCACCGGGAGGAAGGCGGGGAAGGGAGGCCGGGGCGCGAGGCCGGAGAGCGGCTCTGGAGCTGGCCATGCCTGCGCGGAGCGGCGGGGACCCCAGTTCCTGCGGTGCAAAGAGTCTCTTAGTTGCTAGCGGTTAGCCCAGGGGTGCGCGGTTGGCCCTTTGGGGTTGGGGGCTGGCCCCGTGCGTCCTAACCCTTGGCTGCCACCTGCGGGGGCTAGGATGGTCCAACCCTTCCCCTTTCCTACCTTGACCCCCCATCTCCTGCGGAGCGGCCAGTCAGCCCCCCTTTAAGGCCCTGACGTCTCCTGCGCACCTGCTGAGTGTCAGGTCCAGAAACCCCCTCCGTGGGAGACATCATCTCCCCCTCTTCTTCAGAGCTGAAGAACGACAGATGACAGATCGTTTCAAAGAGTGACTATTTTGAGTGTAATGCAAATTGAACAGAGCCACGTGATGGTGACCCCTCCAGGGTGGGGGGTGGGTAGGGCTCCTGAGGACATGACGCTTGAGCTGAGACCCCAAGAGTGAGATGGTGAAGTGGTCCTGGAGCCGCCTTGTGCAAAGGTCCTAAGAAGCTTAAGGAGCCTGGGAGGTTCGCTTTGGAGTGGACTGGAGGCTCTGGTGGTGGCTGCCTCTTAGGGACCAGGCTGGGGGAGATGGTGGAGGGAGGAATGTGGCAGGTAGGTGTGGAGGGCTGTCTGTGCCACCGGAGGTGCCAGGGCTCATAGTATCCAGTCCAGCCTGAGGCTTCTGCTCCGGGAGGGACCAAATAGGGTCTTGGCGTCAGGGAAGGAGCCTCAGGGCGGGGATCTGAAGCCGGCTGGTGTTTGGTGTTTGCAGCTTTAGGACGGGAAGCAGGACCAGTGAAGATGGGGGCGGCGGGAGGGGGAACCAGGCTGGCTGGACCCTGGCTGGTTTTGGGTGTGAGTGCTGTTCTTGCTGCGTGTGGGACACTGGCTTGGGTGAAGGCAGCTCTCTGGTGTGACAGGGACTGAAGAGTCAGTCTTGCCCCGAATCAAGGAGGAGGCTTGGTGTGGGCACGCAGGAGGCGATGCGTGAGGACATTTTGAGTGACGGAGAAAAGAGTTGTCCCACCCATCCAGTCACCTCCGGTGTTGGAGTCTGGCAGGCTGGCCTTCCAGTTCAGCTTCCACCCCACACGCACAGGCACACGCTGGTGTGGACGCTGTCCTGACTGTCAGGTTGGCGGGGAGGAGCTCGTGCCCCCTGGCGGTGGGAGGGCCTCAGGGAGGGAGCCAGCTGTGCCCTCTCGGGGACCTGAGAAGCCTGCCTGCCTTGGAGGAATCTGAATGAAGAGCAAAAGGGATCTGAAACACACGGTGGAAGGCCTGTCTCCTGAGCACTTGTGGAGACCTGTCTCTTTACCTTCCTCACCTCTCCCTGTGCCAGGTGTCTCTCTCCTCCATGGCCCACGGTACCCACCGCCTCACTGGGCTAACCCTGCTGCTACCCACCTGTTTCCTGGGATCGCTTTATAGTCCAGGGCTCTGTCCTGCAGCCTGCGAAGCCCCCTGACTCCAGCACTGTCAGCCCACAGCCTGGCCCATTATTCTTTTTTTTTTTTTTAAAAAATATATATATTTATTGTTGTTTTTTTTCAGAGAAGAAGGGAGAAGGATAGGGAGCTAGAAACGTTGATGAGAGAGAAACATTGACCAGCTGCCTCCTGCACACCCCCCACCGGGAATGTGCCTGCAACCAAGGTACATGCCCTTGACCGGAATCGAACCCAGGACCTTCCAGTCCGCAGGCCGACGCTCTATCCACTGAGCCAAACCGGTTTCGGCCCATTATTCTTTTTAAGAAAATATATATTTTATTGATTTTTTTTTACAGAGAGGAAGGGAGAAAGGATAGAGAGCTAGAAACATCGATGAGAGAGAAACATTGATCAGCTGCCTCTTGCACACCTCCCACTGGGGATGTGCCCGCAACCAATGTACACGTCCTTGACCAGAATCAAACCTGGGACCTTTCAGTCTGCAGACCGACGACGCTCTATCCACTGAGCCAAACCAGTTTCGGCTGGCTCATTATTTTTGGAGCTTCTGCTGCACTGGCCTTCTTCTAGGGCCAGGAGGGTTCTCAGTCCATCACCTGGAGCATCTCTCACCGGGAGTACCCCTCCCTTGCCTTCACACCTGGGCACAAAGGAATCTCCCCAGTCCAGGCTGCTGGGGGACTGCGGCTCCAGAGTCAGGGGGAGGGGAGGCTGCTGGTACATCCTGGGGCTAGGAGAGAGGAAGCCACTGTCACATCAGGGAATGGGCATGCCTGTCATGGGGTAACTGCTCGTGGCTCTCAAGGCCTGAGGCGGTGGCTCTGAGACACCCTGACTCTCCTCACAGGGGGCTATCAGGCCTTTCCTTGGGGGCTCTGGAGTGGCATGTGTGCCCTGGAGCCACCTGCCGAGGCCCAAATACTCCGCCCAAATACTCCCTCTCTGTGTGGAGCCTCAGGCAAGTACCTCCCCTCCTGGAAACGGGTCTGGGGTCCTGAAGGTCCTAGCAGAGCACAGGTGGTAAGTGCCCCATGCCCGATAGTGATTAGTAGCTCTGAAGCCTCCTGCTGCGGAGCCATGAGATGGACAGGGTGCCCGTCACTGCCTCAGGCCCCACCTAGAGGCAGGTCCTTGTGGGAGGAGGGTAGGCCACAGATGTGTTTGGCTGTCCTCAACACTCCACAGCCAGAATGGATGCCCACAGGAACGAGAACAGCTCAGCCTGGGGTGGCCGTGGTGGCCAACTGCAGGTGGTGGGTCTTAGCTTCTGCTCCCCGCTTTCCCCTCCTCCTGGGGACCCAGGCCCAACCTGCCGAAAGCACTGGGTTGTGGGGAGTGGAGTAGCCAGGGCTGTGGATGACTCAGGGCCTAGCTGTCTCCAAGGCAACCCTGTCGCCTAGCAATGGCAGTCTCCTGGTAACGGTTGTCTCCTAGCAATGGGATATTTTCCCAGTCCTGGCTGGAGCCTGGCAGTTATTTTTAGTTTCAATTGCAAATCAGTCGCAACTGCATTTTTGGCTCCTGGAGAAGATGCAAGGTGTGTATGTGTGTATTTCTTGTCAAAGGGAAGACCATGTCCTGACTACAGGAAACTCGCCCCATATCCCAAGGTGCAGGCTCATTATAGGTGGCTAGCCTAGATTCTGCCTGGGGTGGGGGTGGGGGGGTGTGGGGTGCAGGGAAAAGGGAGCCAGAGGTTGTACAGGCTGCCTGGAAGAGTTGGCAGATGACCATCTCCCTGATGGGGTCTCTGGGAGGGCCGGTCACTTCAGCACCCTGGGGCTCCCTGGGTCAGGCTGGACAGCGGTGATCCAGGCCCATGTTCATGGCACCATCGGAGCACATCCCTGGGTGACCCAGTTTCTGGAGAGTTCCTGGAACCCCCTGGCCCTCAGTTGTGGAAACTACCTGCTGTCCCTGGCCCTCAGGCCCACCCAGGAGTGCAGGTGGTCCTGGCTTCAGGGGTCTGGGTGACACAGTCTCAGCTGGTGACGTGGATGGGGCTGGCCTCTGCTCTGCCCACATGTCTCCCCCTTCCCTGCTTTTGCTGAAGTGGGAGTCCAGGTGGGAGGTCTTGGGCAAGTGGAAGGCTTGACCTTTCTCCTGGGGCTTCCTCACCGTTTCCACAGGGGCTCTGTTCGCTGTCCCCAAACTCCTCTACCCCAGCGGCTTATCTGGGAGGCACAGCTGCAGGAGGCGGGCTGGGGGACTGATTGGCAGATATGACCGAGCGGCTAGCCAGCCATAAGTGGACCCACAGGGTCCGAAAGGCTGGCGACTGCTGCTCTAGCCAATGGGCTTAGGGCTGGCCCTGCCTGCCTCCCACTGGCCACCTTCCTGGCCTTGGGGCCCTTATCCTCTGTTCCCCGAACTTGGGGTATTCTTCTCTGGCTTTTGTGTTGCCCCCCCAGGCCCCTGTCCAGGCCAGACCCTGTCTGTTCCTCGCCTGTGTCCCCAGCACTGCAGGCTTCCTCTCCTGCTGGAGGTCAGTGCCCCCTGTCCCAGGCACTGGCCAGGGCAGGGCTCACCTCAGACTCTGCCCTGTCCCAGCATCAGCGCCAGCCACTTACCCAGCCCTGGGTTTTATGTGGGAATGGAGGGAAGTCCTTTTTGAAGAGTCAGGGCTCTGAGGGTCTGGAACTGGGAGATGCAAAGGAGCTTCCAAAGTGAGCAGAGACATCAGGGGATTTGCCTGAGGTTTGGGATATCATTCATCCATTCATTCATTCACTCACTCACTCACTCACTCATTTACTCATTGGCACACACATTCATTCTCCAGATATTTACTGGCACCTGCAGTGAGTCTGTTCTGCACACACACCAATCAAGGCTACACATAGCCTTCTGGGCTCCCAGCCCCACAGGCAGCAGAACGCCCATGGCCATCAACACCAGGGTGAGGAAAGGTGGCTCCTGTCTGAGTCTTCTGTAGGCTTCTACAAATCATGGCCTGGCCCTCAAAGAAGAGGCTGGGGTAGGGGAGGGGGAAGCCTGGGGAAGCCTGGGGAAGGAAGGTACAGCTCATAGCTAGGCATGTGCCCCTTTTAGAACAGGTTGCCTACCAGGAACCTCTCCTTTGCACCCACAGATTGACCCATAATGGAGGGAGAGAGGATTGAGGTGGGGAGCCAGGGGCCCTCGGCTGGCTGAGGGTGGGTCTGAGGCTGTTTCTTCGTACTGCCACTGGAGGGCGCCTGGAGCCCACGCTCTGCCTCAGAGACCAGGGGGACAGGCCGATGACCCAGCGACTAGCCAGCCGTAAGTGGACCCACAACCTTGGCAAGGGAAGCTCTGGCAGCTCATCTGGTGCTCTCCCCCTCCCATCGACAGCACCTCATTTGCCTTATAGTGTCCAGCCCTAGGCCTTGACTACCCTTTTTTTTTTTAATTGGGTAAAATACACATAGCATAAAACTTAACCATCTTAACCATTTTTAGGTGGACAGTTCAGGAGTGTTTCAGTACCGTCACCACCGTCCACCTCCAGAATGTTTCATCTTTCGAAACTGAAACTTTGTCCCCGTCAAGCAGTTAAGTACTAACTCCCCATCCATATAGTAGTATATGTCATAATTTTCTTCCTTTTCAAGGCTAAATCAAGTTCTACTGTGTGGATGGGTCACATTTTGTTTATCTGTTCATCCATCGATGGATACTGTGTGGTGTGCACCTTTCGACTGTTTGTAGTGATAGATGGGTCTCATCCCATCAGCTGCACCCTGTGGGTGTCTGGCCCTTCTTTGGCTGGGAGGGCCTGGGACCAGGGAAAGGGCGGTGTGTGTTCATTTTGGTGGCTGCTCCAACTTCCCCCTTCCCTTGGGCCGTTTGCCCTCATCTGTCAGGCCCAGGGGTAGCAGGAGGGCTGGGGTTTGGGGCTCTGGGGGTGGGAGACCTCACACCACAGATGACAGAGTCTATGCTGGTTCCCAAAGATCCTGCTAAAGCTCACAGCGACCCCAAGGGATTGGGCATGAGTTCTGAGTTCTGGCTTTGTGGCTGAGGCCTCTCTGAGCTGACCCTGAGGGTTTTCAGGGCTTTTGAAGGCCCTGCCCATTTGGCCTCCACATCAGGGTCTGTGCAAGGTCTGGAATCTCTCCAGTCCCCTTTGGCCAGCAACTCCCCAGACCCTCCCTGAGGGGAAATCCTGACTGTGGGAAATCTGTGCCCCGCCCCCCTCCTTTGGTTTCATTTTTTTTTAAAGTATATTTTTATTGATTTTGTACAGAGAGGAAGGGAGAGAGACAGAGAGTTAGAAACATCGATGAGAGTCATCCATCAGCTGCCTCTTGCACACCCCCTACTGGGGATGTGCCCGCAACCAAGGTACATGCCCTTGACCGGAATCGAACCCGGGACCCTTCAGTCCCCAAGCCGACGCTCTATCCATTGAGCCAAACCGGTCTCGGCCCTCCTTTGGTTTCATTTTAAGAGTGATTCCTATTTCAAGGTCCCATGTCAGGACCTCCTGGGCCCGATTCTATGGCTCAGGACTGCCCCTCGGCTCCTGCAACAGGTGCCAGCAGCCCAGGCACCTGGCCACCCCTCCCGTGGGTATCTGTCCCTCCTGGGGTTGGTGGGGTCCAGACTGGAGCGGGATGGGGCTGAGAGCCGGGGTCCCAATCCTGGAAAGGGCCACCTGTGATGAAACGACCCCACCCCACCGTTCTAGTGGGTATCGAACCCACCCCCGCCCTGGCCGAGGGCTCAGAGGACAGCAGGCTGACCGGGACGGTGCACAGGGGCGGGGGCACCCCGAGGGGGCGACTCAGAGTGGCAGAGCTAGGTGCCCCTTCCCAGGATTGTGGTCCTCGCTCCCGCGACCGCCTCCTGCGGTTGGCGGAAAGTTTCGGAGCCGCTGAGATTGCCGGCCCTCCCTGCTCGCTTCCTGCAGCTCTGCCGCCCCGCACGGCCCCGGCGGCCACCGGCACGGATTGCGTGGGGCCGGGGCCCGGACCGGGGATCCCGGAGGCTCCCCCTCTTTCCCAGCCTCATGCCGCCCCATGCGCTGCTCTGCGCTCTGCCGATGCCTCTCGGAGGACCGGACCGCTGCCGCCGGAGGGGCAGGCACTGCCCGCGGCCCGCCCTGCGCTGCGCCCTGATCCAGCAGGGCCTGCGGGTAGAATAGCCCGCCCTGCGGGGTGCGGAGGACCCTGGGCCTCAGTTTCCTGCACGGAGCGCACGCTGATGTGTGGCCGCCGGCGCGGGGACGCCGGACCTCGGCTCCGTCCCGCGCATCCGTCCCCAGCGCCCGACTCAGGAGCCGGCAGCGCGGGCAGCTGGGCCTGGCCTATGCGGAGGGCGGATCGAGCGGCTCCACCCGGCCGCCGGCGCTGCGCCTGCCCCTGGCGGCTCGGACCCGGTCGCGGGCCTGCAGGTCTTCGCTGAGCCTGCGGGCGGCGCCCTGGAGCTGCTGCTGTCTGAGGGCCCGGGCTGGGCCGAGGCGTGCGCTGGTGTCCTCGCGAGCGTGGCCCCCCTTCCTGCAGGCACCCCGCACCGCGACCTCAGCCGCCGCGTGGCCTCCACCACGGGGAGGAACGAGGCGCTCTTCAGAGGCCACACAGCAGTGCCAGAACCGGTCTTATCTTAGGGAAAAAGCCCGCAGGTGACAGAATAGGGGAAGGGGAAGCCAGCCTGAGCAACCCAGGTCCCTAGCCCCTAAGGGATTGGGGTTGATGGTGTGTGTGTGTGTGTGTGTGTGTGTGTGTGTGTGTTGGGGGATGGGGGGAGTATCAAAACTTCAGGCCAAAGCTGTCCAGGACACTTTGGCCCAGTGGCGACCTCCCTCCCCTCCCCCATCCTAATATAACAAAAGTCCAGTGTGAGCCTGTCACCATGGAGATGCCCCACCTCCCTGCAGGGCAGCTGGCCCAGCTCTTTGCTCTTCTGGAACTTAGAGCCTGACCCTGTAGTGGGTGGATGTCTCTGTTCTGCCTCCTGGCTCCGTGCCCACCATATCCTACTGCTGCCCTCCCACCCCTACCCCACCTCCCACGCTGGTGACTAGGCCTCGGAGACAGCTCTGGGAGCCCATAGGGGTTCTGCATACAAGATCTGTGAGCCAGCCGAAACCGGTTTGGCTCAGTGGTAGAGCGTCGGTCTGCGGACTGAAGGGTCCCAGGTTCGATTCCGGTCAAGGGCATGTACATTGGTTGCGGGCACATCCCCAGTGGGGGGTGTGCAAGAAGCAGCTGGTTGATGTTTCTCTCTCATCGACGTTTCTAGCTCTCTCTCTCTCTCCCTTCTTCTCTGTAAAAAATCAATAAAATATATTTAATAATAATAATAAAAAAAAGATCTGTGAGCCAGAGCAGGCATCAGGACACTGAGCTTCAGGTGGGGTGTGCTAGGCACAACCCTCAGGCCTGTGTCTATGCATGTGTGTGGGTGCACGCATGAGCCTGCAAGCATCACCCTGAATGCAGGGGGTCTTCAGGGTTTGTACACATGTGCTCCCTGGGATCCCAACTGCCTCATGGCCCTGAGCGGGTGTCTGGTCGTTTGCTCCGGCCTCCTGCCTCTGATTGGTGGGAGGAGGCCTTGGGTGGGCCAGAGGAGGGCAGGACCTGCACTGACCATCTTCCCTGCACGCAGGTGCCTGCAGGCCCGGTAGTGACACCTAGCTCCTCCTGGACTTGGGCACTAGCGACCTTGGTGAGAGGGCCTGCCACGCCAATGGGGCGGAGGGCCTCCCCTCCCCTATATGCGAGCCATGGGCCAACGTGTCCCTGCCGTGATCCATGGGACCACCCACAGGATTGCCCACGACAGGAGTCTGTTATCACCGAGGCAGTGTCCCTCTATCAGGCACTGCGCTGTACCCGGCAGGGGCTTCTGGGGGCCTAGTGCAGGCCTCCATTCGCACCCCACTGCGCTGTGGTGTCCACGCTGGCCCCGGCACTTTCCTCTTCATGGGCTGGGGCCATTTTGGTGCGGCCTGGCTTGGCTGTGCACCCTGCTTTCAGGAATTCAGCCGGGCCTATGCCACTGCCCATACCACGCCCTCTGCCCCTTTGAAGTGGTACCTGATGGAGGGGCGTGGAAGCAGGGCTCTGGAGAGAGGCCAGGAGGAGGGTGGGTGGGGATGGGGAGGTCTCCTCTGTTAGTAATGTAGACACCTTTTCCAGCGGAAACCATTGAGCTGGCTGCTCAGGCAGCGCTGAAACCCAATATCTTATGCAGAATTTCTCTGGCTTAAAGATATCTTGCTGATGATGTCTGTGTTCAAGCACGTTCACCCTTGGATGTTGAACTGACAAGCAGGTCTTGATATTTCGATTGAACAGGTTCTGGAAGCACAGTCAAGATATCCTACGTGTGATTGAAATCACTTATGAACAGGGCCTGGAAAGCGCGCAGTCACGTTCCTAGGACATCTTCATTTGAGATAACGTTGTCTTCAAATTCTTCTGGAACATACCGGAGGGCCCTGGGGCTGTGATTCATGTTCAGCGCGATCCAAGGTACAAAGCTGTGCCAGTAACGGTCCACACCACTGCCGAAGGCCCCAAGGTGCTGGGAAGAGGGCGTGCCCGTGCGGGCACAGCCTAGTCAACAAGCTTTTACCGAGCGCCTTCTGCGGCTGTAGCACCAGGGATAGTGCGAGAAAAGAGACAAGTGCGTGTAAGAGTTCCCCAGCCTAGAGCCTAGGGCACACCCTCCCTTTCAGGGGAGGGCACAGGGACAGCCCCTAGGAGACAGGTTCAGGGCTCAGGTCTTCCGAGCAGGGCCTCTTGGTTTCTCACCACACTGGGACTGTCAGCTGTGGGAGGGAGCCCGGAGCGTATCTGGGCAACTGCTCCTAGGCGTGGCTTGCCTTGGGGTGTTCTGATGGACAGAGCCCCCACCAGTCTCCCTGAGACAGCTGTAAAGGGCCTGGCTGTGACCCAGTATGTCCAGGCCTAGAGGCTGCCCACCCCCAGGGAGCCCATTTTCCACTGTCAACCTTAAAAATAAAATAGCTATTTTACCAGCCAAAAAGTAGTCTATTTGAGAATGGCAGAGGGATTGCAATTTGGGGCTTGAAAACTGTAGCGAATCACAGGCAAGTCTGGAGAACGAAGGTGACTGTTTTTGTATAGAGAAAAAGGAAGTCGAGAGAAATAGTTATAAGCAAAAGTCCATTGGAGTAGAGCTGTGGTCGGCAGACTGCGGCTCGAGAGCTACATTTGGCTCTTTGGCCCCTTGAGTGTGGCTCTTCCACAAAATACCACGGCCTGGGCGAGTCTATGTTGAAGAAGTGGCGTTAGAATAAGTTTAAGTTTAAAGAAATTGGCTCTCAAAAGAAATTTCAGTTGTTGTCCTGTTGATATTTGGCTCTGTTGACCAATGAGTTTGCTGACCACTGGAGTAGAGCAGGAGTAGAGGGTGGTGGTGGCTCCTCATTGGCCGGGCTGGGGCTGGGTGAGGAGAAAATTCCTCCTGCTGGAGTGACAAACTAGGCTTCCTTGTTGGAGAGTCTGCAAGGCAAATGCAGGAGAGCTTCCCCTTCAAGGTTTCCTGACTCCAGTTTTATAAGGATTCCTTCATTCTTTTTTATGTTTTCCCCTTTGCAGAAGACTGGAAGCTAACAGACGCTAGCATGAGCAGGAACATGATTAAAGAAGTAGCTTCCACTTCAGTCTTTAATTTCTTCAGATGACTCCATGTTGACACCTCAGTCCCTTGCGTAGCTTTCAGTTTTCTTGTCCCACTTTGCTGTCGTCTGGGCAACTCTCAGTCCTTTTGGGTGAAGGGACACAGGAGCTTCTCTGAGTCCACTGTGATGACGGACATAACACATGTTTTCTCCTTTGATCAAGATCTTTCTCTGGGGAGTGGGGGCGGTGGGGTTGGGTGTGGAAAATAAGAAGATCTTTCTCTGAAGGCCTCACTGACCAATAATCCATTTTCTACAGTGAGGAGTTTTGTCCCTCTTGTCAGGAAGGGCCTTTCCTGGTTATCATGTCCATGTAGGAGGGAAAGCGCGTAGGAATTGGAAATGGTTAACAAGGAAGGGGATGTCTATCTAGAGTCTGTCTTAACAGTGTTATACGCGTTGCAGATCATCTCAGAACCACGAGGCAGCATCATTTAGGGCATCGTTTCCACAGAATCTGACAGGTAACAGGTACAAAGTTTGAAAATTATACCAACAGCCCTGGTCGGTGTTCTCAGTGGTTAGAGCATTGCCCTGTGCACCAAAAGGTCACGGGTTTAATTTCCAGTCAGGGCACATACCCAAGTTTTGGGTTCAATCCCCAGTCAGCGTATGTTCATGAGGAACCAAATGATTGATGTTTCCCTCATCCTCTCGCCATAGGATCAATGAAAAACATATCCTCGGGTAAGGATTAAAAAAAAAAGAAAGAAAATTGTACAAAACAAAACGAGCAGAATATAATCCAGTTTGTATAATGGTCCTCAATCAGGAGCTCAAACCTGAGGTAATCAGCTAAATAGGTCAAAGGACTTTGGAGACTCAGGTGAAGTTTGCTGTAACCAGTGGACTCATTCCCTAAACTTTGTTGGGGTCCCTAATTGGGTTCCTGCCTAACCAGAAGAATTAGCCATGTGCAGCAGATGGTGTTTGCTATTGCAAACAAAAACATGTTTGTTTGTTTTTAAAGAATATATTTTATTGATTTTTTTACAGAGAGGAAGAGAGAGGGACAGAGAGTTAGAAACATCGATGAGAGAGAATCATCAATCAGCTGCCTCTTGCACACCCCCTACTGGGGATGTGCCTGCAACCAAGGTACATGCCCTTGACAGGAATCGAACCTAGGACCTTTCAGTCCGCAGGCTGACACTCTATCCACTGAGCCAAACCGGTTTCGGTGAAAAACATGGTGTTTTTTTTGTTTGTTTATCCTCACCTGAGAATATTTTTCCATTGCTTTCAGAGAGAGAGAGAAAGAGAGAGATCTATGTGGGAGAGACATCAATTGGTTTCCTCTTGAACAAGCCCCAACTTGGGGTGAGCAAACCAGAAGCCACATATGTGCCCTTAACTGGACACTGAACCAGAGACCCTTTGGTGTGTGGACCAGCACTCTGGCCAGTGAGCCATGCTGGCCACGGCAAACATGGTTCTTTTCTTTCTTTCTTTAAAAAAAATATATCTTATTGATTTTTTACAGAGAGGAAGGGAGAGGGAGAGCGAGCCAGAAACATCAATGAGAGAGAAATATCGACCAGCTGCCTCCTGCACACCACCCACTAGGGATGTGCCCGCAACCAAGGTACATGCCCCTGACCGGAATCAAACCTGGGACCTTTCAGTCCGCAGGCCGATGCTCGAGTAAGGGAGAAGAATAGAGAGATAGAAACATCAATGATGAGAGAGAATCATTGATTGTCTGCCTCCTGCATGTCCCCAGGGAATTGAGTTCACAACCTGGGCATGTGCCATTGGTTGAAATTGAACCTGGGACCCTTCAGTCTGCAGGTCGACGCTCTATCTACTGAGCCAAACTGGCTAGGGCCAAACGCGTTTAATTTCAATGGACATACTAGTAATAGATTTTGGAATATTGAAATGTACCGCTTTTATTAGCTGTAGAGCAAAAGAGGCAGGGGCTCGGTGAATCAGGCACCCTATGACTATTTCAAAGGTTGAGAGTTTATGAGTTCTGTAATTTAGAAGGACGCTTTCAGCCAAGGTATGTGAAGAGTTTCCACAAATTTTGCCCATTGAGTTTTGATCATGCCATTGGCTTGTTCAACTAGCCCTGAGTACAGAGGATGACAAGTGAAAATGCTATAGCACTGGCCAACTGGCACAGTCTAGCCATAATATTCGGCCAGTAAATCCGGTTCTCCAGTCACTATGGAGCTCAAGGGGGGTTTCCTAGGTAGAAATGTACTCCTCTCTCCCATACGATTAGGCACTGGATAGACATGTAGCTTGTCAACATGGAAAGGCTTTGACCCAAAAGGAAACACAAATTTTTACCGAGACATACTTGTATCCATGAGATGGGTGTAGATCACATGTGTCAAACACAAGGCCCGCGGGCCAAATCCGTCCCGCCAGGCCTTGCAATGTGTCCCGCACCGCGCTGTCATCACTGCACTCCGCTGCGTTTCCATCACAATGACAGTTTATGACTGTTCAGTAAACCATTCGGCCCGCGATTTAGGCTGGATTTTAGATTTTGGCCCCTTCTCTGATTGAGTTCGACACCCCTAGTGTAGATGAATAAAGTCCATTTGCAAAACCTTGAATGATCCATTAGGCACTTTAAAATGTCTGGGGCTGGGGGGGGGGGCAATGGTAAAATATGTTCACAGATAATAATTTAATAAAAATAAAAAAATGTCTGGGGGTGGTGTGGACAGATTCTTCTGGGTTATTTCTTGGGCAGGTGGGGCAAGAAAAGTAGATGCTTTTTGTGGCCATAATAACATTTCCAAACCAGTCTTGGTTCGTAACTGTTATAATTTTATCACCGACCAACAATTCAATGCATGCACAGTAATGGGGATTTAGACTTTCTGGCAGGAGTAGATTGTTATTTGGCTCAAGCCAGAGTTCTTTCTTTTCATCAAACCAATAATGATTACAGTTCCAGTATTGTTTTTCCTTCAATGAGGCCAATTTTAGAGCATTCCTAGTCAGTTTTTCTAAATTATCATTTGGGGAATATCCCTTTGCACCATGACGGACGTTTAGCTCTTGGTTCCTTTGAGAGCAGCGCTGTTGTTGGAAATATATGAGTGAGGTTGTTTGCTTTAGCTTCCAGGAAGTCAAGCAGGGAGTGGCCAAGTATCTTAATAGCCAAGATGGCTGGTGGGAGTATGGGATCTATTAGTTTTTGGTCTTAAGAGCCATACTTAGTTGTATCCCATTAGAGGTAAGGAAACCTTGTGATTTGCATAGCATTCCAAGGTCAGAGCTACCCCAGAGGTATAGCAACTGTTGATATAAATGTTTGGTTTTGCCCTTGGCAAGAGCACAAACTGGAGTAAGTGTATGATTCCGTCAGCTGGGCAGAGGTAGCCAGAGGCAAGGTGCTGCCTTGATGACTTCAAAAGTGGCTACAATAGCATACCTTGTGTGGCTCAGTGGCTTGAGCATCAACCCATGCACCAAGAGGTCACTGGTTTGATTCCAGGTCAGGGTACATGCCCAGGTTCCAGTCTCGATCCCCAGTAGAGGGTGTGTAGGAGGCAGTTGATGGATGTTTCTTTCTCTCAAAACAATAAAAACATATTTTTAAAAAAGCATACTCAGTGCTGGCTTCGGCAGCACACACACCAAAATTGGAAGGATACAGAGAAGATTGGCATGGCCCCTGCACAAGGATGAAACGCAAATTTGTGAAAAAAATCATAAAAAAATAGCATGCCCAGCACAATATTTACCATTTATATGAGGACAATCAGCTCTAGCCAGTTTGGAGTATCTGGTACACTGAAAGGTCATGGGTTCAATTCCCAGTCAGGGCACATACCTAGCTTGTGGGTTCTGGTCCCCAGTTGGGGTGTATAAGAGGCAACCAATCTTTGTTTCTCTCTCACATCCATGTTTTTCTATTTCCTTTCCCCTCTCTCTAAAAGCAATGAACATACCCTTGGGTGAGGATTGAAAAAAAAGAAAATTATTTAAATAAGAACGAGGAATTTCCTATAAGTTGTCATGGGGAGTCAAAGGTGATCTGTCAGCATCAAGCAGTCCTGCGGTTTGTCAGTGAAGGGGGATAATAACCAGGTCAGTTTCATCAGTGAGACAGCCAGCAGGAAAGTATTGCGTGTGATGAGAATGGCGGAGGACTTCAAGGCTTGGGTACCAGATGATGGGGGCGTGGGAATCCCATGACGATTTCTTCATTTTAACTAAAAGGACAGGGGCTCTGAGGCAAGAGGAGTTACTCTTGTGCCACCAGGTCTAGCTGTTGGCTGTAGAGTCCTTTGTGGTGATGGCAATCTCCATGGTTTAAGCCACATGTGTCAAACACAAGGCCCGGGGGCCAAATCCGTCCCGCCAGGCCTTGCAATGTGTCCCGCACCGCGCTGTCATCACTGCACTCCGCTGCGTTTCCATCACAATGACAGTTTATGACTGTTCAGTAAACCATTCGGCCCGCGATTTAGGCTGGATTTTAGATTTTGGCCCCTTCTCTGATTGAGTTCGACACCCCTAGACTTTAAGCCATCAATTATCACTTTTTCACTTATGACATACACAAATTAATTACTAAAATTCTGGGACTCACCAAAAATATATTTTTCGACGATCTGATGAAAAAGAGGTATAATTTTGATCCATTCACAACAGATGGTTTATTGTTGGGTTGGTTTGTCATTTTTTAAAATGCATTTAAAAATATATATTTTATTGATTTTTTACAGAGGAAGAGAGAGGGATAGAGTTAGAAACATCGATGAGAAACATCCATTAGCTGCCTGTTGCACACCCCCCACTGGGGATGTGCCTGCAACCAAGGCACATGCCCTTGACCGGAATCGAACCCTGGAACTTTCAGTCCGCAGGCTGACGCTCTATCCACTGAGCCAAACCAGTTTTGGCTAAAATGCATTTTTATTGATTTCAGAGAGAGGAATGGAGAGGGAGAGAAATATCAATGATGGAAGAGAATCACTGATCCGCTGTCTCCTACACGCTTCCCCCCGCCCCCCTTTCCCCGGGGATCCAGCTGGCAACCTGGGCATGTGCCCTGATTGGGAATCAAAGCCCCATACAACCGAGCCACACAAGGCTGGGCTGGTTTGTCATCCTTTTTTTTTTTTTTTTTTTTAAAGAGAGAAAGGGAAGGACCCCGTTTATTAAGACTAGTGGACTCCGGGAATAATTGCCAAATCAGAGCGTTTGCCATTTTTAAAATGTGACAGTCAAGGGAAACGAGGTCAAGGTCCCTGACTAAGGCGGTCCTGCCTGTTTTAAACATTCTCGCGGCACACCAGTTGGAAATCGCTGCTTTTAGGGTGAGCGCCAGAGAGGGACCCTGGGTCCCGGCAGAGCAGAACGCGAGAGGACAAGCCGCGAGTCCGGTCGGTCTCTTCCGGCGGCACCCTCCGTCCGGCCACTTCCGGCGTCGCCTCGGGCTGGTGCGATGGTGTCGGACCTGCGAAGGGCACCTCCTCTGAGCTGCGAGTCCCACCGCCATGGAGCCGGACGACCCGGCAGAGGCGCTGACGGAGCTGCGGGAGCGGGGGCTGGGCTGGTGTGAGCTGCTGCAGGCGGCGGCGGGCTCGGGCCTGGCGGTCTACGCCGTGTGGGCGCTGCTGCTGCAGCCGGGCTTCCGCCGGGTGCCGCTGCGGCTGCAGGTGAGGGGCGGGGCCTGCGGGGCGGGGCTATGCCCGGGGGCGGGCCCAGGGATGGGGGCGGGGCTGGATCCAGGCGCGGAGCCCAGTGGGTGCTGCATAAGGGCCAGCGGGGCTGTGGTTGGGACCTGTGTCGGGTAGGGCAGGACAGCTCACCTAAGAAAGAAGCCCAGGGGGCAGGCTCGCCCCAGTACCGGAATGATTTCGATTTGGGGACCAGGCGTGTGGAGAGCCCGGTTGGCCAGGGACTCGAGCCCTCCCAGCCACATGTCTGCTTGCCCAGGTGCCCTATGCTGGAGCGAGTGCGCGACAGGTGGAGAACGTGTTGTCGCTGCTGCGGGGCCGTTCGGGAAAGCTGGTGGACCTGGGCTCTGGCGATGGCCGGATTGTAAGCAGTGTGGAGGGCGGGACAGGGCCACCCTCACTGCTCTCTCCCAGCCTGCTGGTTCTGAGGCTGTTGGTGCGCACAGGTGCTGGCTGCCCACAGATGCGGTCTCCGCCCAGCTGTGGGCTATGAGCTGAACCCCTGGCTGGTGGGGCTGGCAAGGCTGCATGCCTGGAAGGCAGGCTGTGCCGGCAGTGTCCGCTACCACCGGGAGGATCTCTGGAAGGTAACCTGGGGAGTCTTGGACTCCTTCAGACCCCACACCTGACCTCCATGCTTCCGTTCTGGCTTGGCTACCTTGCTGACAGCCCCAGGCGTCCCTGCCTCCTGGGCATGCTGGGGCTTGCCCTCAGAAGTCGAGGTAACTCACTAGACCGCTGGAGTTCCATTCCCTACTGGGGTGACCTCTTCCTGCAGGTGAGCCTGAGGGACTGCTACAATGTGTCTGTGTTCCTGGCGCCCAGCGTGGTAGGTCTAGGGTTTGCTAGCCCCAGGGGAGGCCCAGGCCTGGAGGAGCTGGGCGGGGGCACTTGTGTTCCGCCCTGCCCACCCCACTCTCCCGCTCTCTCCCACAGCTCCCACTGCTGGAGGGAAAGCTACAGGCAGAGCTACCGGAGGGGGCCCGCGTGGTGTCGGGGCGCTTCCCCCTCCCCACCTGGCAGCCTGTGGCTGTGGTGGGTGAGGGCCTGGACCGTGTCTGGGCCTATGACTTCCACGGTGGTGGGCCAGGTGGGCAGGCTGCCCCAGCACCCAGTTCTGCCTCGGTCCCTAGGGCCCCTGATCCTCAGGCTGGCTGACCGTTGCATTGTGGACACAATAAAGACTCAGTGGGCTCCACTCTGACTCTTGTTGTGTGGAGGGTTGGGTTCAATGACATCCCGAGGCAGGTCTGTGGGGAGGGCGCCCTGCTGGCCGGAAGAGCTGTGCTCCAAGCTTGTCTGACGACTGGTTAGCGGCTGCGGGTCCTTGGGCGCTGAGGCTTGGGTGGAGGTGCGGCCCCCCTGGATCCACCAGCTTCCTCAGCCTCAGGATCTCCTGCTTATACCTGCTCGGAGGGACCAGCCTTAGTGATCCGCCAGGCCGTGGACAAGCCCTGCCTCTGGCGTTTGAGATCGCCACCCATTCCGCTTTTCTGAAAGCTCACCGGCCCAAGTGCTGGTCCACGTACTCCTGAAGCTCAGAGAGCTGGGCCTCAGCCTTCGTGGCCCTGACCAGCAGCTCTGCCCGCTCGCGTTCCAGCTTTGCCTGGCATCGGAGGGGCATAAGCCATGAGCCAGAGTAGGAGGACGGAATCTCTGGCCACGCCTTGCCCCCTCACTACCTGGGTGTCATGATAGAAGTCCCGGAGTTTCTGGCGGATCTGGGCCCAGGATTCAGCTTCCAGATTTCTGTGAGAGAAGTGGGGTGGACATGAGGGAGCTGACCAGTGGCACTGCTCAAGTCGGGGCACCTAAACACTTGAGGTGGCGGCTGGGGGCAAGTTCAGGACAGCAAGGTGGGAGCCATTTGTGCATGGGAGGAAAGCGACCCCAGTTTCTGTAAGGGTGCTGTCCGGGGCCTCCCCCTAGGCTGGGGGTTTGCTTCCCCAAATCCTGCGAGGTGGGCCTGCATAACCCCTGCTCATTGCAGTTGGGAGCAGGGGGCCCAGAGGCAAGGCTGTGCAGGGCGCCAGGGAACCTGCTCCTGTCCTGTCCCGTGGCTCAGCTGAAGCATCTTCTCCTGGGCTCCCCCTCACCTCCCACTGAGGACAGCCCTTCTCCCGTCAGGGGCCCTCTTCCCCCGGGCACTGGCTTTTCTGAGATCATTAGTGTCTCCCATACAGACCCGAGGGAGGGCCCAGACCCACCACTTTCCCTGCTGCAACCAGAACCCCGCCCAGCGGTTAGGACTTGTTAGAATAAATGAATGACCCCCTGGCAGACCCCCCAGCACTCCCATCAGGGCACTCACGGTGGCTCTGAGGCGCTCCCCGGGGAGGCTTCGGCAGGCCTCTTCTGTGGGAAAAGGAACGAGGCGCTGAGCCCTGTGAGAAGGCTGCGTGGTGGGGTTCTGTCAGCTGAACAAGGCGGCTGCCCAGAGGCCCTGGAGTGGGGGCCCAGCGGAGCCTGGGTGGGCTGCGGGGTGAGTTCGGGGCTCTGTGCCCTAAGGCCAGTGTGGAGCAGCAGTGAGGAGTCACCTGGACTTGCAGCTTCTGCAGCTGTGTCTCCAGCCTCGCCTGGTCCTCCCGAAGGTGGCCATGTTCGGTGACCAGGCGCAGAGGCGGCGGTGGCTCCAGGTTGGAGGTGGCCTCATCAGAGGTGGCCTTGGGGTTCCCAGGTGTCCCTTTGGGCTCCGCCAGCACCTGCTGCACACTGAACCACCTGGGGGGGGGTCATGTAGAGCCACCCCACCCCAGATGCCCGTCTCAGGGGAAGGGCCTACCTGTGGGCACCTAGCAATTCCTCGTGTCTTCGGCTCAGGTCTGCCAGGCGCTTACGGTAGACCCGAGCAGCTCGGGCCAGCTGTTGCTCACGGCTGTGGTGTGCTGCTCGGATGTCCCCCAGGGTGGTCTCCAGGAATGTCCGCAGGGCTTCGGCCGTAGGTGCCTGGCTTGTGCCATCTGCGTATTCCTGGAGGAGATGGGTGCGGCCTGAGCTTGGTAGGGCCCACACCCCTCCCCACAACTCCTGTGTGGAGCAGGTTCTCCGGTGCAGTAGGTGAGGCCCAGAGGGTCCCTGCAACAGGTCAGCAAATCCAGGCCAGGCGTGGGCTCCCCAGGCCCCGGGGGCCTCTCACCCACAACAGCGCCACCCTGCCCAGGGCTCACCACCAGTGCTCGGGAGTAGCGCTGCAGCCGAATGCTGTACTCCTCATTCATCTTCTTGAGTTGCAACTGCAACCTGGCATTCTCAGCCTCAGCCTGGCGGAGCTGGCCCTGGCAGGTGGACAACACCTGGGGGTGGAGGCAGCCTTGAGCCTGTGCCCCTTGAGGTGGTCCTTTACAAGGCTTATAGGGACCCCTGTCCTCCAGATCTCAAAGTGGGCATAACGGCCTCACCACAGCTTGTGCAGCCAGTCGCTGCCCAGCCATCCTGGCCTCCTCTTGGGCTCCCTGCAGCTGCTGGCCCAGGGCTGCCCTGCGGACATGGGTGTGAGGCTCAGTGAGGCCCGGGATAGGGACTCTCTCCGCCCCTTTGGAACAGCTGCTCCGGGCACTGTGCCAGGTGAGGCAGCCACTCACACGCGCGTCTCCAGTGCTTGCTGGCGGGCTCCGTGCTGTTCCAGCGTCCACTTCATTTCTCCCTGTAGCTGTGGAGTACACAGAGCTGGTTGGATGAGAACCCAAGCTCTGGCTCCCTTGGACTACCCCACCCCAACCCAGGGCTGGGAGGAACGCAAGCAGGCGCCGGGCTAGGTGACTGCCCATGAACGCCATTTCCCAGCTTCTGCAGTTCGTTCTCGGGAGTCTGGAGTCCTTGGGCTGTGCCTGTGCAGGAGAGTGGGTCCCCGCCTCACTGCACCCCTGCTGCACCCCCTACTTGGCTCCCACCAGTCAGGCCCTCCATGTGCTCATGGTGACCTGAAGAGTGTGATGGTTGCAGGGTTCCTGACCCCTGACCTTTTGCTCAAGCTCCTGTGCAAATGCCTGGAGGTGCCCTGGGTCAGTCTTTGCTGCGGCTGCGCGATCTCCCTGCAGCTCCAGCTCCAGCACCCGGTTCTCCAGCCGCAGGACCTGTGGGGTGAGCAGGGTGAGCAGGTGCACCTGCCTGCTGGGCCAGATCAGCACCCAGCTGGGCACACACGGACGGACACACAGCGCTTGCGGGACACTCAGGGACTCAGATATTCTGTGAGAACCCTGTCACCTGTCAGGAGGGCACACCTACAAACCCCTTCCCCCCCCAATAGCACTGGTCCTAGGTATGCATTCCGCCAAGGACTCGGGCTGGTATATGTGGGCACACATCAGCGCCCACCTCACTCTTCAGCTCAAAGATTTCAGTCTCATGCTGCTCCCGCAGACGAAGGGTTGTGATCTGCAGGTCGACCAGCTCCTTGGAGATCTGTGGGTGGCCGGGGTGAGAGGTGGTACCTGTGGGATCCCGTGGGCACACCTCCCCCCAACCCCGCTACTTCCTCAGGGCCCTATACTCACTTGCAGCCGTTGCTCCTCACTCAGTTCTAGTTCTGAGGGCAGCTCTGTCTTAAGACTGGTGACCCAGGCTGGGGCGTCCGTGGGGACTCCTGGCGGCGAATCCTCAGTCAGTGGTAGAACCTGGGGAAGAACCATCCCACGGGTGGGTCTCAGGCTTGGGCTATGGCCCCCCCACACCCACATCTACCCCCACATACCCAGCCTAGCTGATGGGGAAGCCAGGGCTGCGCCAAGGATCAGGCCCAGGACATGCTCCTGAGGGGGCAGAGGACCCCGACCCCAAGGTAGAAGCAGCAGCACCCTGGGAAGACTCACATTCTTAATGGGCTGAGATGGGGCCCCTGGCCTGGGGCCTGCGGCTGCTGCTCGCTCCATAGTCAAAAGGAACTCTGGCTGCCCCTAGCCCAGTGCAGCTTCGTCTACTGGCCTGCTGTTGACACTAGGCTTGTGTTGCTAAGGCCTCTGTTGGTCCCCGGAGTCTCCCGCCTCCCCGCCCTCTCCCCCACTAAAGGGCACACAGCAGTTCAGTGGCTGGGGAGGTGGGGAGAACTCAGCTCCTTCATATATTGCATGCCGTTTTTTTTCCTGGCTTTAGTTGCCTCAGCTGGGAAATGCAGACCTGCACCCCAGCATTTTCCGGGGTGTGGATGGAACCAGGAGTGCTTGCAAGCGTCGTCTGGACAGGTGTGAGGCAGCAGGCACTGCTGTAGGAGGTGCCCTGCCCTACCCTATGGTTCACACCCATTAGAAGCCTTCTCTGTGGCTCCCAGTGATGGCTGAGCGCTGAGACTGCAGATCCCCACACTCCCCAGCCTGAGGGAAGGGGCGCAGATGTCCTGATTAGGGGCGGGGAGATCATGAAGGCTCTGTCCAGCGCACGCGCGCGCCCGGTGCGGGGTTTGGGGCCCTCCATACGCAGGTTCTGGGCGGGGGAGGGTGGGGGGGTTGGGAGCCATTGGTGGCGGTCAGGCTGAGCGGGCTGAGCGCCGCCCGAAACCGCCTCTGTCGGGTGCCCTTCAGGCCGCGCCTGGGGATGGGGCGGAGCCTGGGCAAGGGCGGGGCTGAGAAACCGCGCTGGGGGCGTGGCTCAGGGGGCGCGGCCTGCAGCGAGCGGTGGTTTGGCTGGAACTGGCGTCCGCGGCAGCCGGTCACCTTGAGCCTGAAGCGAGGGATTCCATCCGGGCCCTCCGGGTAGTCCCTGGAGCAGGGAGCAGAGCTCCTTATGTGGCTCCCAGTGTGTGCGTGGAGCTGACCCCTCCCGTCCACAGCCCTGCCTACGGTCCAGAGAGGGAAGCCCTACTGTGAGGAAGGAGCTCAGAACGCTGGGAGCCTGCTTTGCAGGAGGCACGGGGGGACTGAGCTCTGAAATCCCAAAGGTCAGGGGCTGAGGACAACTACGTGATCTAGTCATCGAGGAGCACACGCCGAAGACCGTGGCTGTGGCCCTGCTCAACAGGGTGTGGGCAGAATGCGTGCCCAGGTGTCTTGGGGTGCGACTGACCAGCCTTCCTTCAAAGAGGCGCCCCACCACCCTGGTTGGAGCAGATCCTTCCTCTGCTCTCTCGTCTCTGGTGGTTTGGCATTTAAGGTTCCTTAATTGTATTTTGGGTCTCCTCTGGGGTTAGGACCACCCCTGCCTCCTCTTTTCCCTTCTTCTGGTGCCTGTTCCATACACTCTGGGAGCTCAGTAATTGCTGGATCTCCCCCACCCCCACCTGCCAAGGCCTGCCTGGGGGCGGGCACCTGGAGCATTGACAACTCCCTAACTCCTAACCTTTCACCTGCTAGAGATCAGGGGCCATGAGGGTGTATCACTGACCACTGTACTGACCATCCTCCACCAATTAGTGTGGTGGGGGCCGGCAGAGGCTTAAGGGCATTGGCCCTACTTGGCCCCCATCCCTGTGATCCAGCTCCCGCCTGTCTGCAGGAGCCACGCTGGCGTATCAGTGGCCCAGGCTGGTGGTACTGAGTGACAATGAGCACCATTTGCGTGCTGACCCACAGACAGGCGCATGGCAGAGCTTCTGGTGAGCATGCGCCTGGGCTGCCCATCTCACCCAGCTGGTCCTCTGCAGCAGTTTGGGGCCATCCATGTGTGCTGCCTCTTGAGGCCCAGCTGACCTCCAGCCATCTGACCTACTTCCTGCGGGAAGATGAGTGTCCCAATCTGACTGCGGTGTGCTCCAGTACAGCTGTCCTGCACCCCCACCTTCTCTGACCTGCCTCCTCCTCAGGGAACCTGTTGTCTGTGGCTAGCTGCAGGTGGCACCTGGACAGCACAGCTCAGATGTACCAGAAACTGGTGGAGACCCTGGGCACACTGCTCCCTGACAGAGAGCCATCCCTTCCCCTTCCTTGGGGTCCAGCCCCCCTGCACAAACCACAGGCTGTGCACATACCTTGTGCCAGGGTGCTGAATGAGTACTTGCTCACCAGAACAGGACAGGCTGGGTGTGGTGGGTGCTTGGGTCTGGGGAGGGGCCTGGCCAGGCCAGCCAGGCTGAGTGCCTCCCCCTTCTCTGCTTGTGGCAGTGCTGTGTACAAGTGCCTCCTTTCAGGGACGTCCTGTGCCCTCCCCAGGGGCTGCACTTCAGAGCAGGCTGACTCAGGGCCAACCCACTGTTCGTGGGGCCTCCCTGGTCATTTGGGAGGAGTCCAGGGACCGGTTGTTACCGGGCTGACTGGCACTGGGGAGAAGCTGCTGGAGAATAGTCTTCTTCCAGCACGTGCCCAGCAGTTCCCCCATGGTGCCCCGTTCCTGCCAAGAGGAGCCTTTGCTCACGTTGTCTGGGAAAGTGGTGCTGGAGGCACTCTGCAGGGAGGGGGCAGCTTTGAGTGGGCGGGAAGCTGAGCCATTGTGACCACAGTTCCAGGTGCTTCTCATGCTGCAGTGGGGGTTCCTGATCCTTTTTCTTTTTTTAAATGGAATGCTTCTTGAATTTGTGTGTCATTTGCGCAGGGGCCATGCTGATCTCTGTACTGTTCCAATTTTAATGTAGGTGCTGCCAAAGCGAGCATTCCCGATCACACTTTAACCAGAGTCCAGCATGGACCTGCTGTGGTCAGGCAGCATGTCCAGGCCCCACCCAACGGGCTGCCCAGCCTTGGAGAGTGGGAACTCTGGTGCTTCCTGGTGGTGGACATGTGGGCTCCTCTCTGGGGTGCACATGAGCCCTGAGATCTGAATGTTTGGGAAAAAGTCTACAAGGCTTTGGAAAAATTTTTTTTTCAATGTTGGCAGCTCTTAAAAGCTGTTTTCAGAGGGAAGTCCTTTATTATAGTGGGGTCGGGCCTACAGGCAGAGCCCAGTGTGTTTTCTCCCTTCCTTCCTTCCCCCTTTAAGTGGGGACCCAGCAGTGGAGAACATAGGTTCCCAGGCCCTAGAACCACAGCTTCCTTAAAGTAAACACCCAGGTCCAGGTGCAGTGGGCACCGCTTCCCCAGCAGGGGGTGTCATGGGCTGGGTGCTGCTCTCCTGCCAGTGTACTTTGCTACCAAGTGCAATAGGGCCCCATGCTGGGCTGTAAGCTTAACCTGGGCAGGCCTGGCCCATCCCTACCTGAGCTTCAGGACTTAACTCTAGAAATGGGGGAAAGAAACCTCACTTTAAAAATATATATTTTTTTATTGATTTCAGAGAAGGAGAGTGAGAGAAATATCGATGAGAATCATTGACTGGTTGCCTCCTGAATGCCCCCTGCTGGGGATCAGTCCTGCAACCTGGGCATGTGCCCTGACCGGAATCAAACCATGATCATTTGTTCATTGGTTGATGCTCAACAGCTGAGCCACATGGGTCAGGTGAAACTCCACTTTTACTCTGCCTTAAGCTCCTCATGGGACTGGCTGAAACCCTCCCACACTTGGCTCACCACAACCAGGAAGACGAGGGCACTGCCGTGGCCATGGGCCTGTGGAGAGGGTCAGTACCCTACGGAAACTGGCCTGTGCTGGGGAGCCCAGGTGAGTGCAGGCTGGAAGGCATCTTCACTGGCTGTGGTCCTGAGTCCCATCTCTGTGTGGGTTCCAGTACATCCTCGCAGCTCACCCACCACTTTGGGGGCAAAGCCTTGGGTCCTGAGGTCCTGGCACTGGCCATGGTGAGCCTTCTACCACCGGATGCTGAGGCCAGAGCTGGCCTTCTCCACTGCGTGGTAGCTCGTGTGCAGCAGGCTGCTGGCGCGCTCCGAGCCCTCCCCACGCAGCCAGTGCTCGTACAGCTCCCGGACCCCAGGCACATCCTCTGGTGCCTCCGTCCTGACCATGCTGTACAGCTTCTCAACATGCTGGAGGAGCTCCTTGCTGGGCATCTCGGGGGCCTTGAGCTGGCCTCCGCCGTTCAAGCAACCTGTGGCAGAACAGGATGGCGAGGGTGAGGGCATGGGCATGGAGGGTGCTCGCATCAGGACTATAGGACCCCACAAAGGGCCCCACACCATCTGTGAGAGGGCCTCTGAGCATACCTGAGGGGCAGGCCATGACCTCCACATAATGATACGGGCAGCGCCCTCGCTTGAGCTTCTGCACCAGGTTCTGGATGTTACGGAAGCCGTAGGCCGCAGCAAAGTGCAGCAGGACTCGGCCTTCACTCTCCAGCGTCACCTCCTGGAAATCCTTGTTCCTGGAGGCAGAGACCACCACACTCACCCTCACCCACAGGCATGACTGTCAACCTTACCAGTTCCCGGGGAAGGACAGTGACGGAGAGGGAGGGCAGGAAGCTTAATCCCACGAGTCAGCAGGTGACCCCACCCCAGCCTCGGTTTCCTGATCTGTAGAATGGGAACACCGCTTCCCAAGGATGGCCATGTGGTGAAGTGAGGTCAGACACAATGCCCTACCCGCCTTCTGTGAGATGGGACGTCCCAACAGGACATCCTGTGCTGGGTCCACCACCCTGCCACCACTAGCCTCTCGGGTCTCTGACTGCCATGGGGTGGGCAGGACACCGACCTTTAAACAGGAAGATCAAGGCCTGGAGAGTTCTGGCCACTCAGGGAGCCAGAGAAGAGGACCAGCTGCTGTCCAGTGACTCGGGGTCTGTGCCAAACCCAGCTCCCCGTCTTCCACCAAGCCCACCTCAGCAAGGGGACCCAGGGCCGAGGCTGCCCCCACCTTAGCCTTTCCCACTGACCTCAGGGGTTTGTAGGTGACCTCATCCACGTGGATTCCAAAGAGCTCTTGGGCTGCATGCCGGAACACGTGCTCCAGGTAGCCCCCCGAGCCCCCGCCTCGATGGCTGGTGGGCTCCTGCACAGACACGCTGCTGAACCTGGGGGAGAGTGAGGCTCAGGGGCAGCAGGGCTCCAGGTGACCTATCTCTCATGGCCGAGGGGGTTTGCTTTCTAGGTGGGAATGAGTCACAGGCCCCTGGGGGCTCTGTTGGTGTGTCAGGAGGTGGGAGAACACCGGCCCCCTCCACTGAGTCACCTGGACCTGGTGAGCTCAGGCCTGTATCAAGTTGGTGTCATTTCTGATGACAGCCATCTTTGTGGACACCAAGACAGACCCTGGGGCAGGCATGGAACCAACCAGAAGGAAGCCACAGTGGGAAGAGGGACACTGCCCATTACCACGTGCTTCTGCTGCCTGCCAGGACACCTGTGAGGCCCAATGTCGACAGTGCCCCGACACCGAATGCCTGTTCATCCCTTCCAGCCCAGCAGGTAGTGACTTACACACTGTCCAGGGGGGCTGGCTCCAGTTCTGATAGTGAGACCCCTTCTTCTTCCAGCAACTTGGAAACTTCTCCTGCAATAGAACCACAGACAGATGCTCATCAGCTGGGATTTCAGTAAAAACAGAATGTCCAAGAACACCCACCTGATCTTCGCCCCTAGCAACCCGTAATCTGTCACCAAGGCCTGGGTGTCCACCTGCTGGCTTGTGGGTAGAGGACAAACCTGGGCTCGGGGTGGAGACGACTCCACTTGTGAAGACCCTCAGGAGGGCCCTGGGACTGCACCACCCTCAGTGACTGGGTGGGGCTCAGAATGCCCCGCTCCCAGGTGCTCCACAGTGTGTGCCACCTGGGCATGTGCTTATGCATGGAGACCTTCCCCTGTTTGAGTTCTCCAACATTAATTTTCTTTCTTTTTTAAATTTTAAAAAAAGTATTTGGAGACACTGCGAGATTGCTCAACTCAGAAATGGAATAATCAGCCGAGACTGGTGTGGCTCAGTGGACAGAGCGTTGGTCTGTGGACTGAAAGGTCCCGGGTTCGATTCCGGTCAAGGGCATGTACCTTGGTTGCGGGCACATCCCCAGTAGGGGGTGTGCAAGAGGCAGCTGACCGATGATTCTCTCACATCGATGTTTCTAACTCTCTATCCCTCTCCCTTCCTCTCTAAAAAATAAATAAAATATATTAAAAAAAAGAAAAGAAAAGAAATGGAATAGTCAATGTGAGCCAGAAGGCTGACAAAACTCTTCACCCATCTCCTTGTACAGTATGTATGTGTGTGTGTGTATATATATAAATATATATATATATATATATATATATATATATATATATATATATATTTATTTATTTCAGAGAGGAAGAGAGAGAAACATCAATCAATTGTCTCTTATACACCCCACACTGGGAATCGAGCCCGCAACCTAGGTATGTACCCTGACTGGGAATCAGTTGTCACCTTCAGGTTCATAGGTTGGCGCTCAAGTGCTGACTGTGTGTACAGACTGTTTTAGAGCAGACACTGGCGGTGCTGGGAGACCAGTCTGCTTTAGGTCCCTGAGACAGGACAGCTGTAAACACCAACCAGGCTCTGAGGGAGGGCCCTGCCTCATGCTAGGCCCTGAGGTGCCCTGCACACGGGACGACAGCTCTAGCCAGAGCCTGGGGGCAGCCCTAGGCAATGCCAGCCTGTGCCCTGGGCGTGGGGAGCCACACCTGGAGGTCAGGGGCTCAGGGTGGCAGGACCCACACCTGTCGTGATGACACAGTCCACCTCTCGCGTCTGGTGCTCCTGGCTAAAAAAGTCAGGCCTGGACGCTTCCAGCTTTTTGTCATAGCAGGGCATCACTGTCACGTGGTAGATCTTGTCGGGGGTCACATGCTGTACGGAGAGAAGTGGAAACGTGGTCCCTGCCTGACCCCAGCAGCAAAGGGGTCCTACTAGGGTGGAACAGGGAGACCCCGCAGGCACGGCCTGAAGCAGCCAGGGAGTGACCATAAGTCTGTGAGTGGGTCCCTGGACACTGCAGGTCTTAGCTCATCTTTCAAGACCATGCCCCCACTCACTCAGCGCTGGATGTCCGTTACCTGCAGCTGGGCGAAGAAGTCCTTGACCAGGGAGCCCATGACCTGCTGCGGGGACCTGGCGGTGCTGATGTAGGGGATGACGGCGCTCCCATGGGTCTTCTCGGCGTAGCAGATCCAGCCTGAGGCCAATTTGGAACAAAGGGGGTGGCTCATCCTCGCCTCTCACTGTGGGCTGTGACGTGACATTCTGGGGGTGGACCTACTTGTACAAGGAGTGCCGTCCCACTCTATTTCTAGCATCCACATGATTACTGTCTTGGGGGAACTGAAGTGACTACATGTGACTCTCAGAGCAGAGCAGCTCCTGCCAAAGAGGCCGTTCTGGGTGACAGAACCTCCCCCCCCCCCCCCCCCCAGCATTCCCACTACCCACATCCAGCTGATCTGGTCAGCAGTGTGAGCACACCTGGGCAGGCAGAAGCCAGCATGGGCAAGGCCTGCTTGGAGTTGGCCTGTTCTCGGAATCGCTTCACAAACTCTCGCTGGCTCTCCAGGAGGCTGAAGTTCCTCGAGAAGGCGGTATCAAACACGTAGTGCGCCCCTGCAAGGTGAGCACCCATGAGCCCATGAAGGATGCCAAGTGTGGGGTGCTGTTGACCATGCTGCCAGGAGCAGAGGGTCTACCTCTCACAGCGGCCACAGGAAGCACACAGTTCTAGTGTCACAGGACATGCTGTGCTGTGGACAGCCTGTGCTGCTACCTGGGAAGCTTGTGTTTGACAACTGGCTTCCTTCATCTGCACTTAGCATCTGCCTAGGACAGACATCGGCAAACCGCAGCTCGTGAGCCACATGCAGCTCTTTGGCCCCTTGAGTGTGGCTCTTCCACAAAATACCACAGCCTGGGCGAGCCTATTCTGAAGAAGTGGCATTAGAAAAAGTTTAAGTTTAAAAAATCTGGCTCTCGGCCAGGCCCAGAGCATCAGGGTCTGGTGCGGCCAGGCCTGGAGCAGCGGCTGCCAGGCTGGGAGCTTCCAGGCCCGGAACAGCTGGGTCTGGTGTGGCCAGGCCCAGAGCAGCAGCTGCCAGGCTGGGAGCGGCCGGGCCTGGAGCAGCCGGGTTGAGTGTGGCCAGGCCCGGAGCAGCAGCAGCCAAGTCCAGAGCAACTAGGTAGGGAGCGGCAGTGACCACACCCAGAGCAGCTGGTTGTGGAACGGACCAGAGCAACAGAGGCCAGCCCCGGAGCAGCCAGGCCCGGAACAGCTCGCTCCTCGCCTGCGCCTGCCCCACGGCTGCCTCTCAGACATGGCTGGAAACTTGCGGGAACTTGAGAGTCTGCTGAATCAAGTGATGAAGGCTTAGATCTGGATGTGTTGAGTTAGTATAGTGCTGGGGTGTTGATCTGTGAGTGCCTTGGGTGGGGCCTGATGAGGCTGGTTGACCTATTTGGAAATGTCTTTTGTGTGAAGTGTATCATTGGGCATGTGGAGGTATTATTGATATGAGAAAATGCTAAGTAACTGATTTACTATCTGAAAAGGGATTTACTATCAGGGTAAGGGAGGGAGGAAGAGACTGAACATAAACTGTGCACCTATGGATGAGGACAATGGGGGATGGGGAGGGGGCGGAGGGTAGGGTGGGAACCTGGTGGAGGGGGGAAGAAATGAGGAACCTTTGTAATAATATGAACAATAAAGATTGATTAAAAAAAAAAAAAAGAAAAACAATATATTTCTAAGTAGCACAGATTAAAGCCACTTAATAAAGTTTAAAAAAGTAATAGCGACTTTGTTGATGAAAATAATTAATACACTTTTTTGCAGTTAGTGTAAAATTAAAATCATTTTCTTATTCATAAGCCTATTAATTTTTCAATTTTCTTATGTATACTACAATCTAAACCTTTTTAAATGTACTTATTTATCTGATGGGTTCTCTTTTCTAAAATCTGCTATTTTGGAGTATGCAAGTTATTTAATTTAACAAATATAGTGTAATAAAACCTATTTTGCCTTAAAAAAAAATATATGGCTCTCAAAAGAAATTTCAATCATTGTACTGTTGATATTTGGCTCTGCTGACTAATGAGTTTGCCGACCACTGGCCTAGGACATCCATCTGCATCAGGCTCTCCCCAACCTCCTACCTGCTCTCAGCATACAAAGAGGTCAGCCATTCTATCTGAGCCAGACCCAGAACAGGCCTGCAAAATATGCCTTGATAATAATATTCAGAAATACAAAGAGTGGGCGAATTTCAGATCTGGCAGAGTGTAGTCAGCATTCAGATGGCTCCCTCTTAAATGGCACTGCTTCCAAACATCAAGCAAAAACTTCAAGTTAAAGTCGAACTCATAATAGCTTCTGATACGTTGAAGTTCAGTGATTTGGAGGCGTGAAGAGCCCCCTCTCCATGCCTGCGTTCCAAACGGCAGCACTCACACAGGTTCCTCACCTACCTAGTTTTTTAAAGAATGCAGTTAACTTCTTGGCGGTGTCTGTAGGATTCAACTGGAATCTTGCAGCCAGCGATGCGCTGGATTGGGGTGAGACTGAAATGACAACCAGCTTCTGCTGACCAGGAGCCACTGTCTGCCAACAAAGGACACACCATTTACGTTGTGAATTCTGTACTGATTCCCAGTGTGCCAGAGCTGGCGAGAGGGCCCGGCTCCATTGGGGCATTCCATTTTTATGTACACAGAACCCAGAGTTCAGGGCCTGACACTTCACTGTGGAAATACTGACAAGTAATTCTTTGAGATCCTACTGAGTGGTCACTGAAGACGCAGGACAAACAGTACCAGGAGAGGAGCTGTCCTGGACAGCATGAATGAAGGATGCTGGGGCTGATATTGGGTTTCAGCAGAGTCTCGAAGACTGTCCACCACTTACCTTATTGGCATCTAGAATCTTCCGCAGCTCCTCATGGCTCTGCTGAGTGATGAGCACGGTCTCTGCTGAGGTGACACAGCCACTGCATGCCAGACAGTCGTCCAGTGAGATTTTGGCCCTTTCCAGCTTCCGTGTCCCTCCGTCCTGGAAGCACAAGAACCGGTAAGGAAAGGGCCCCTCAGCACCAGGAAAGAGGGCTCTGGGAAACCTGATTCTCTTGCTCACAACACTGACAACCAACATGACAGTTAGCTGGCTTTATGTGCCACAAGTTTTTAAAAGTAACTTATGACAGGAGTACTTATACACATTCTAGATTTAAAGAACACCATCGAATTCTGACTGGTACAAACTCAGCTGGAGCTGGCGACTCTCCATAGGGCTCCCCAGGGGTTGCTGGTCCCCAGGCTGCATTCATGGGACCATGAGGACAGGGAAATGCCAAAGGCCAGGCTCTGAAAGAGGAAGAGCATGGCAAGGGAAAGTGGGCAGAAGGAGGAGATGGTGGAGCCTGTGCAGTGGGCTATATCTGCCCAGTGCCAGTACCTGGAGTTGAGAAAGACACAATGGACAACAAATCAGACTTCGCCAAGCAGAGAACTTGGTATTCGAGTCCAGAATCTGGCTGAAACTCAGTGACTTTTCTTAGATACAGATTATTCCAGCTGTGCTCCTTCACTCCTTTTGCAAAAGCAGACATGGTCTGAACCAAGGCCAGTGAGCCACAGAGGCCAAGACTGGAACCCTCAGCTGAGTTCACTAGGCCTGCGCTTTGCACAAAGCCACAATCTGAGCTCAGTACGTGTTTTTAGAGTCAGATGCACCTGAAGGCCCGGGATGCAATGCAGGACCAAGCAGGAGGTGGATGAGCTTCCCAACTTACCTCTGTATCAAGCACTGCTGTTCCAGACAGCAGGACACACTGGCAGCCCCAGCTCAACTGGGCCCCCTCATTCATGGCACCTCTCCGGAGGTGTCTTTTCCCTAAAAAGAACCCAGTCCCCTGTGCTGCAATAGGTGGGAGCCCTGATGTGTTCACCCTCCTGCACCAAGTTAATAGCCAGCTTTTCCCTGTATAGGCTTGATCCACTGTCCACCCCACCAGGAGTCACCCTGGGGCTCCTCCCCCTGCTTGGAAGGGGTTCCTGGGCCCAGTACACTTTGTGCCTATAGTCCACAGGATGGCACAGAGTTCAGTGGCAGATAGGCGGGGTGGAAATAATTTTGTTGTTGTTAATCCTCACCTGAGGATATTTTTTCCACTCATTTTTTAAGAAAGAGTGGAAGAGAGGGAGAGAGAGAGAGAAATATCAATGTGAGAGACACATCAATTGGTTGTCTCTCTCACGTGCCTAGACCCAGGCAGAGGATGGAACTTGCAACCAAGGTACATCATGTGCCCTTCACTGTGAATGGAACCCGGAACCCTTCTGAGCATGGGCCACCACTCTAACCACTGAACAACACTAGCTAGAGCATGAGGTGAATTTTAACACCGTTAGATCAGGATTTTGTCATTATTAATTATACAGGAAGTAGGTACTCACTAAGAACAAGGGGTCTAAATAGGAAAATCTTATGCAGTCAGAACTCAGAGACAGAGGCAGAGAGAGGGGGAGATGGGAACACCATCTCTGCAAAAAGAAGCCCCTCTGCAGAACAAAGCAAGGTCCATATTCAGCATCTATGTCCCTGGCCCCTCCCATTCCTGACCTCTCAGGCTCCCTGGCAGTGAGTTTGTTGAACCGTGAAAAAGGACTGGCAGGAGTGAAAGGTCTCGTGGTCACTGCGCTTGTGACTGGGTGGAATGGTGAAACGAGTTTCCGGTCATCCAAACAAGAACTTACCTGACTCACTTGGAAGTAACTCCCATCATCTTCAATGTGGATCTTGGCCACGCCACTTCCCAGCTTCTTATCGATCTTCATGGGCTTGATGCAGTCCTATACCAGGAAGAGACCCCAAACCAGGCCTGAGCGGGCACATGTCCTAACACCTGCTGGCACTGAGGGTCCCTCTGCAGGTCACAGTCACTGTAAGGCTGGTGCTAACTGGGCCTCATGCTAACCTGTCAGCACACACTGCCAACTTTGACCTTTTACTCTTCTCAGTGTGACGGGAGGCGTGGCCACCCCCCAGAGAGCCAGTGTTACATTGGCCACTAAGAGGAAGCCTAGGAATTGGCAGGAATGCTCTGTCTGGCTGGCAACTCCCTATTTAGTATCCTAGAAAAAAGTTCATTTCTCTCCTCACCTTCCTATCTGCCACATTACCCCTAGGAGAACCTCGTTGGCCTTCCCCTCCTCCTCTTGGGGTTCAACTATGCAAACCCTCCCCCCCTCCAAGTCCTGGGCCCCCACAGGTATCCCAGATAGGGACAACACCCCTTTCCAAATGTAGTTGCTGGTCTCCTTTCGGGGCAAGCTCTCTCCTCCTGGAGGGCAATGCCAGTGACCACACACACTGACATTTACTGGGCCGTCATGTGTGGAATTCCAGCGGACCGGCTCCCCTGCTCTGGCCACGAGGGGGTGGGATGTCTCAACTGTTACACAGAAGAAACTGTGGCTCAGAGAAGCTTGGCAGGGTCTTCCCAACTCCAATCCTGAGCCCATCCCTTCCCAGCTGGGTGCCTGGCGGCTGAAATTTCACCGTATACCCATCTGCGAAGCTCCGAGTGCAGCTTCTATGTCCCCGGCCCCTTCCATCCCTGTTCTCTCAGGCTCCCTGACAGTGAATGTGGACAGTGGGAAAGGTCTGCAGGATGTGGAAGGACTGGCTGGCCCCGCACTCCCCTAACCCGTCACCCTGAAGGCACCATGATAACGGGCTCCTACTTGTCTCCGGGCGGTGCGGGGCGGCGAGCCCACGTCCCCGAAGCCCGCGGACCTGGCCCAGGGGGCATAGTAATCCGGTGCGGGCACCGCCCGCCCTGGCTTCGGTTCCCCCCCCCGGGGGGTAGGAAGCTGGCCGGAGGCCCGATCCCATTATTCATGGGGAGAAACCGACGAGAGACAGGCCATCCCCCTCCTCCTCGCCGTGTACGGCCTCCGCCCGCCCGGGCCGACCCACCTGAGACGGCCCTATGAAGTCGTCCAAGTCTGTCAGCTGCAGCGCCCCGCTGAAGGGCGACGCCATGCCGGCCATACTGCCGTCCGGCGCTGCGCGCAGGCGTCACCAACGGCGCCAAACGGCGCGAAACGACGCGAAACGACGGGGTGGTTCCGCCACGCTGCCGGAAAGCAACCCGCGCGGCGCGGGCGCGTCTGGCCCTGCGCGCGGACGCCTGGAGGGCGCGCGCCCCCTGCCGGCGGATCAAGGCCCCGGAGGAGCCACCTTCTTACCCTGCACCCTCCCCGCCCACCGGGCAGCGGCTGAGGGCCCGCGTGGGCACGGGTGACCTCGGCCTCACTCACCCAGCGCTCACCTGCCGCCAGGGGTGCGGCCCGGGCTCCCCGCCCCGGGAGCTCGCGGGGGCAGCCGCCTTGCTTTGCTGGGCCAAGCCTCGCCTGCAGCCCAAGAACTCAGAGGCGCCTGGCACCCATGGCGCCCGTGCCCGGAGCAAATGACAGTGACAGCGAGAGGGAGCGGTTCCTCCCACTTCTCTGCTGGGGCAGAGCCTTGGGTCTGGGAGGGCGCCCACGGGGCTCCCCTGAGGGCCTCCACACCCTCTTCTGTTATTGTGGAGACCAGCCCCAGAAGACCCCCTTTGCCTGTATGATTCTAAAACCCGAAACACGACGGCTGCTGTCGGCTCAATTCTTAAACCACTTATCAAATGTGCCAAGGACAGTTATACATCTAATGATCACTTTTTGTTAGGGCCTTTCAGAAAACTCCAGTGGTCGAGCCGTCCCTTGGGGCCCAGCTGGGCTGAGCCCTGTAGGTGCCCTGACAGGCTCAGCCCCAGAATCCTGGTGGTAATCTCTTATTTCTGAGGAGCCAGCCCAGGCTGGGCACCTGCTCTTCTTGGAGTTTTTGCCTTGATGTCAACACTGCCTGGTCACCCCTGAGCCTGCCTATGGACTGACTTCATGATCCAAGGAGCCGCAACCACCTGCTGGTGCGACCTCTTCCAGCCCTGCAGCCACTCCCTTCAGCTCCCGGGAGAGGACATTGCCAGCAGCTGCCCCAGGTAGGCTTCCCAGCAACCCCTGTCCCCTGTCCTGGCTGCACTGAGCAAGGTCTGAGGCGTGCTGCCTGAGATCTGAACAGTCCCACTAGTTATTATAACCCGTGGAGCACAACATACACTTAGTTTCACCGAAATACCCCAGAGCAGGTTTGAAAAAAAAAAATTGTGATGGTAACCAGTGCCAATTGTGATGGTAACCAGGGCCAAAACCGGTTTGGCTCAGTGGATAGAGCGTTGGCCTGCGGACTGAAGGGTCCCGGGTTTGATTCTGGTCAAGGGCATGTACCTTGGTTGCGGGCACATCCCCAGTAGGGGGTGTGCAAGAGGCAGCTGACTGATGATTTTCTCTCATTGATGTTTCTAACTCTCTATCCCTCTCTCTTCCTCTCTGTAAAAAATCAATTTTATATATATATATATATACACACGCACACACACACAAACAAAAAACAACAAGTGCTGTTGGGATTGGGATTAGGACATGGATCAGTTGCACTGGTGTGATGGAAAGGGTTTACAGTGGAGAGGGCTTCGGCTTTGACTATGGGGCAAAGGGTGGTCTCCATTTGGTGACAGGGTTATAATTCTCCCAACACTGGAGGGGAGGATTTGACATGTAGATACGCAAGATAGATCTCAGTTTTTATGGGAAATTTTTGTAATATGTGAACTGATATTTCAGTAAAACTATTTAGGAAATGAGGGGGCTAGTCCTGGTTGGGGGGCTCAGTTGGTTGAAGTTGTGGGTTTCATCCCCAGTCTGGGCGCATATGGGAGGCAGCTGATCAATGTTTCTCTCTCACATTGATGTTTCTCTCTTTATCTTTTAAAAAAATGTATTTTATTGATTTTTTACAGAGAGGAAGAGAGAGGGATAGAGAGTTAGAAACATCGATCAGCTGCCTCTTGCACACCCCCTACTTGACTGGAATCAAACCTGAGACCTTTCAGTCCTTAGACTGACGCTCTATCCACCGAGCCAAACTGGTTTCAGCTCTCTCCTTGTCTTTCTCCCTTCCTCTTTCTCCAAGAACCAATATAAATGTATCTTTGGGAACTAGCAGGTTTGGCTCAGTGGATAGAACGTCTGCCTATGGACTGAAGGTTTGATTCTGGTTGTGTGCTTTATCCCCAGTAGGGGGCGTGCAGGAGGCAGCTGATCAATGATGCTCTCTCATCGTTGGTGTTTTTATCTCTCCCTCTCCCTTCTTTTCTGAATTCAATAAAAAATACACTAAAACACACACACACACACACACTCATCTTTGGGTGAGGATTTAAAAAAATGAGGGGGCTAGAGGCCGCCACTCAACTTGGCTGCCCCAACGTGGTCCCAAGAGGCCAAGGCCGTCTGTACATTTTGGTCTGTCCAGGCTCGAACCGTTGGTCCGGCCATCCCTTTAGGAGTGCCTATGTGACTGGGTCCCCAAGCTCCGGGGCCAACATTATCCTCACCTCTTGTGTGCCTATTGGCACATTTTGCAAATTGTTTCATCATCATCATTAGCGAGTATTTACCGTGCGTTTCCCATGTGCAATACCAGAGTGTGCACGCGTTGGGTGGGGCTCAGTACTCAAGGCCCCAGCTGCGGGCCCGTGGAGGGTCACAGCTCCACATGGCCAGGTCGGCCGACTGGCCCATGTGGGTGCTGTGACGCTGTGACTGGGTGTGGGCACCCATTTACCTGAGCTGGAACAGGTGCAGAGCCCGGCCTCTGCTCCGATGTGCCCACAGGTTTGCCCAAACCAACCAGCTGCCATTGCGTGGGAGCAAGTGTGGTTCCTACCAGGCGTATAGAGTTGCGTATCCCCTCTAGTGGGCTGGTGTCAGTGATAGATTAAATAGAGAAGGTAGCCGGAGGCCGGGATGGCAGGACACAGGCTTTATGGAGGGGAGAGGACCCCTGCTGGCTGCTTCCAGAGAGAGGGCGGAAGAGAGCGAGGGCCGGGGTACAAGCATCTTTAAAAGATAGGGGGCGGGGCTGAGGGAACTCAGCAGCGCTGGTTGGTGATTAGGGACCTAGGGATTTAGGAATCGGGGGCTTAGGGTATTTGGCAGGTGCTGATTGGTGGTTCAGAGCTCAGGAATGTCTGGCCGCAGGTGGTGTTTACGTCTGTCCATCAACTGGAGAAAGGGAGGATCTATCAGTCAGTTTCGCCCTCCAAGGCTTGGCCCTGTGTTAGTGTCCTGGAGCTGCTGGAGGGTGGGGTGATAAAACCACAGAGATTCGTTTGCTCCGTGCTGGAGGCCACAGTCTGAAATCACCGTGTGGGCAGGTGTGTGCCCCCTCCAAAGGCTCCAGGAGGGATGCCTCTCTGCATCCGGCTTCTGGAGGCTCAGGGGGTCCTGGGCTTGGGGCGGCATCACTCTTGTTTCTGCCTCCGTGGTTATCATCCAGCTCTCGTGTGTCTTCCCTCATCTCTTACAAGGGCAGTTGGATTCAGGGACCACCTTAATCCAGATGACCTCATCTAGAGATTCCTAACTTAATTACATCCACATAAGCTTTCCCCCAAATAACTCCCATTCACAGACCCTGCTGGGCATATTTGAGGCCACCATTCAGCCCACCACAGCCACATGTCTAGATTTTTATGGGATCCTCAGGGGCTGGAGGACAGCTACATAATGGGGTACATCTCATCAGGCTGTAGCTCACCTCCCAGCTGGGCTTGGCTGGCCCTCAGGGGACTGGTGGGATGGAGGGGACACGGTCCAGGCCACCCCCACATGGCTGTGCTGCAGAGCCAGGGCTGGGCGACAGACGCCTTTATGGGGCAGCTAGCCTGTGTAACATGACCCGGGGTGGGGACAAGAAACGGCTCGTTTGTACTTTCCAAAATAAATGTAAATTTTTCCTAAACGTGAGATTCCAAAAGACTCACTGCATTCTCCAGTGCTGCTGAGTTGTGGGTCTAGGACCCCAAAGAAACTGGACAGAAGTGGGGTTCGCTCCTCCCCTGCTCTGCATGGCTGAACTGGAGGAGGAGGACTGTGCATCCAGGGTGAGGCCCACAGGACCCTCCGAAAGGCCCTCCCGCCCCCAGTCAGGCACAGCCAGGGACCATGGGGGAGGGTCTTCCTTCTGCTGCCCCCAGCTCTTTGGGATCAACTGCTGAGAATGCCCACACTAAGTTTGGGGGCCCAGGAACAGCCCAGGAGCCAGGGGGGAGGAGTGGGAAGGGGACTGGGTCCTAGGTGGACATGAGCTCCTGCCTGTGTGGACAGTCAATTGGAACAGAGTACGGGTGTCCCAGGGGCCTGGCACAGGCAGCCCTCTGAGTACAGAGTTGGCTGGCCTCTTAGTGGTCCTCACCTTTCAAAACCCACCCCATAAATATAAGTATAAATATAAATAAATATAAATATAAACATAAATATATTTTTTTGTAAATCAGGGGCTATTTAGTTTGTCAGTGTGCGTGGCCAGCGTGGGGTCTCCTGCTACAAGAGGATCTTCACTCTCAGGTCTTCTGGACGATTTGGCCCTGAGCCTGAACTAGCATTGTCCCCCCCCCACCCCATGACTACCACTCACCCCAGTTTTATAAGCAAGATTTGCATCCCAGACACAGTGTGTTATTTGGGGAATTACCGAGGGCAATGAGCACGTCATTAGCACCGTAATCAACACCGGACACCTTCCCACCGGGGCTGCCACATCTTGTCAACAGGTGTGATCTGGCAACGGCCCTGGGAGGCCTGGCACAGAGCACAATTAGCAGCTAATGAGGCTTGCACCGGGCCAGGAGCTGGGAGGGGAGGAAGGTCAGAGAGAGCTCCGTGGCCCTTCAGTGGTCCTCCCTCTGCTCCTGCCCAGGCAGGGCTGCAGGAAGCGGCAGAGAGAGCAGGTCACGGAGCGGGCCTCATGGTGCGTTGGGCATGCTCAAGGTGTTTGGGAGAGCAGGTGCTCTGCACAGGCACGCCAGATGGGCCCTGCCCCGGCCCCTCCAGGCCTAAACAGGGGACTCGGAGACTATACCTCTGTGGGGACAGTGGGCCAAGCAGGACCAGCGGGCAGGCTGAGAGCAAAGCCTTCTTCTTTGCCCAACTACGTGATGGAGGGTCTCTGCCCGTGAGCCACCTGGGCTGCTTGCTGGGGAGAGCAGGC